TTCTGTTGGACGATGAGAGGTGGGGGAGGCCGGTGCGATCTGAGACTTCGATGTGTTTGATACACGAGTGCGCGTTGAGTGACTCATATTTCCCGGCCACATCCAGGGTCGCATGCAAAGCCCTTTCAACTGATTATATTTCTGTTGTGCCCCCTTCGGACGTCGAACACATCGCAATCAACGCGGATTGCCGAAAACACGTGAGCAGAGGGCATGCGTTCGTAGGGGTGTCTGCTGAAGGGCCATGGAGGACCACGCTGCGACAGGTGAACCCCGCATTGGCTAATTGCCACGTACCTTCCTGATAGTCGGCAGACCGATATTGCGATTGATATCTGCTAGATGATACAACAGTGGCCCCTCTATAAGGCCGCATGAATAAGGTCAGTCAGTTGTTCTGTGTAAGGTCGGTGGATCGTGTTACACAGATGGGTGAGAGTCAATTTGTCTCACCCTTTAAATAGTGCTGGAGGGTGCCCGCTGTATTCCCGACCAAAATCACTTGGCACCATGCTGCCTTACACAGGGAGCACTATCGCACTCACTGGTTTATCTTCTCTGTTTTTTGGCGTCATTTGATTCAACTCGTTGCACTGTCACAGTGGGACTTCCATCTGGGATGCTCTTCGGCTGCTGTCGGCAAGCCGCAGACGTCGTTGGGACCGTTGGGTGGTGTCGGATCGGGTCCTAGGGTAGAGGAAATGCTGGAGGCGATGGACTCGTGGAGCGGCCTATGCCTGCATTACAGGTGTGGATGGTCCACTCTGCAGTTACCGGGCTACAGTATGCCAGGCGACAGCATCAGATTTTGCAGCGCATCCCTATTGCTGCAGCTCAACGTTGCTTCTGTTATTTATGTAGTGTGCTTGGGTTGCGTGCTTCGAGTTCAATCTTAGGTCGTAGACCTGTGTGATGTCAACAATGTTTGAAGGGCCGTTGGCGTGGAGTACAAATGGATGCAGTATCAAATCCCATTTCCTGCAGGCACAACCACCCATTGTCTGTGACCTGCCGAGGACGTCGACCGAATCAACCGCATCCGTGATCGGCGTGTTCTGTACGTCGATATTGGTCGCATGCGCTCAAGCCGACATGAAGAATGTCGCAGGGTTACAACGCCATGCTAAAACAAAGCTTACCGGCCAGTGACCATTGCTCCCCTTTGCCCAAGGGTGCTTGTTTTTTGGGTCGATGATGATGCTGACCGAACGACTGTGGACACGTTTCACGTCTTGCCATCGGTGTGATTGGCAGGCTGGAGTGGCCAATGCACTTGGTGCTGACGCGAGAGACAATGCAGACGTACAACCGGCTGTTTCGCCTCCTGGCCTGCGTTAAGAGGGCCAGCCTGGAGCTTGAGCGGGTGTGGCCCACCCTCATGCAAAGCCGGTACCGGTACGTACAACCATTTTCTTTGCCGGCACTCGCGACTGTCGATCTCGAAAGAGAGTGTCGGACACTTGCCGATTATTGTACGCTCAAAGACTTGGACGTCGAAGGCAGCTGCATCATCGTCGCACTCGTTGTTGTATGCCGTGCCGCTGACCACAAACCCGGGAATCCCTTGGTCCTAAACGACTTCTTTACGGGAAATATAGGGGCTTGGCCAATGAGGAGAGCGCATGGCTGGGTCCCCTGTGGATGTTGCGAGCACGCATGGCCTTCTTCGTGTCCAACCTCGCCTTTTATTTGCAGGTAATGTTGAACGGCATGGACGGAAAAAATGACTATGATAGCGAAATAAGTACGGTACGTGGTCGATCTGCGGCCAAAATGCCTTGGAAATTTAGCGGGCTACTGGGACTCGGGGTCCATCTTGTTATTGCTCGCGGTTACAGAACGCCAATTTGTTGTGTGTACCAGACTAGATTATGCATAGCAAAGCTGAAGTATTCAGTTGCTCCCCGCTTTGGGAGAACGCTCAAGGCTTTAGTGCACGTGCGATGTGTGTGTATATGTGTGTGGCTTCGTTTCCGCTACAACTGGCAGGTGGACGTGGTTGAGGCGGCGTACACGTTGCTTCGGAGTAAACTTGTGACGGTTCGAGACTTCGTCAGCCTTCAGCGGGCTCACCAGGAGTTCTTAGCCACCCTGCGGGCGAAATTCTACGTCGACAACCTCGCGATTGCCCAGGTACCCCTGCTTGGATCGTTTTATGCGTGCGGTTTTGGCGCGCGGCGCGGGAAAAGTGCCAAACCTGGTCCTACGGTACACAAGAAACAATAAAAGAAATGTGCGGCTGAGTATGGAAGATACTACACCACTTCTCCGGAGCAGTACGATGTTGACGTCGTGAAGGGTTGGGTATGTTGGAGCGACTGCGTTTGTAAGCAGTTCCATGCCAGCCAATCTTTCGCGGCGGCAGTTTATGCCGTTTTCATGCCGGAGGTTTACGAACTCGAGGATTGAAAGAGGTTTTGCATGGAATGTTGCAACTGCTTGTGCTGCCCTTGGGCGTAGGTAAGTCTCAGCACGCGGTTTTTCTTTTGTCCTGCTTGTGCCATCATGTTAGGGGCTCGGGCGCGCCCTTCGGCATGTGCTGCGGTTCTGCTGCCTGTTTTCCTTGCACGGAGACGCCAAAGACATCCTGCATTCCGAGGTTATTGCGCTTCACGACGCCTTCCAAGACGAGATGAAGCTTCTTGTCCCGGTTAGTCAGTCTTTCCCTAGTCTCGTCCCTCTGCACAGAGTGCATGTTACCGCGTCGTGCGGAGGCAAGTAGTCATCCTCCGAGTATGTGGTAGTCAACGCGAATAACTTCGTTTAGGGGATATTACCGCCTCCGCGCTGTGGGCAACGGGAGCATCAGCCCTGTTCCAGCTGAAGAATGAGGCCCGGTAGTTGTTATAGGCAGCCATCACCCTCGGTGCACAATTTAGGTTATCCCAAGCAGGATTCGGCGAGCATTGAGAACAACGCGGCTGTTGTACGTTCAGTCCTTGCTGATTTCTAGTTTTCCTGTAGACGAGCGGCGGCCGATTTGACGGGAAACGTCTGTATTTCTCTGTTGCGTTATTGCGGTTAGTACTTGTTCAATATTTGGTCGTTGGCGTTTCCACAACCTACAGCGGTAGTGTCTTTGTACACCATACACACAATTTTGCACGGTTTAATTTCGCTGACGTTGTGTGGCATTGGATACGCATGCGTTGCCGTGGGTCATGCGCAGGTGTTGGAGAAGGTCGCCAAGGAACTGATGATGCGCCTGGACTTCAACGGACACTTCTCCGCGGAGGCCTTGCACTAAAGCACTCGTCTACCGATTGGAAGTACTGCGGCAAGAGTCGTGCGTGAGAGGCCAACGTTCGTTATTTCAGTAATGCAGGAGCAGTGTCATGTGACAGGTTTGGCCCACTTCAAGTAAGTGTCTTGCTTAGAAGAGCTGGCCTGCTACACCACGTAGCGATTGCTTGCTGTAGGGTAAGAGCACGTGGTGGGGTTGGAAGCACCCATGCTGCCCGTTGTCTCCGGGCCTGGCGCTTCCTGACCACCTCTTGGAGGTTGTCAGAAAGGCGACACCTGGCGAGAATCGAATGAATTGACAACGTTCCTTTTCGGCAGAAGATTTTTGTAGTCGAAGGCGATTGCGGTCGAGCACTTTCCAACATAAAAAACAGGATGCATACTTCGTCGTTCCGCGCTGGTTCGGTATCGTCTGAAGTCAGTCAGTACGGGATAGGCCTGTTTTACGACCCTGCCTACTGGCTCGCGGGAGACGGTATTTCGCACCTGAGCTCACGTAGTGGAGCTCAAGTGGTGGTTTTCATTGTTTGGAGCTCCGGCTGGTCAGACGGCACCATAGACAGATGTTTTGGCGCAATGCAGAGCCGTAGGAACAGAGGTCAAAACGGCTTCAGTTTGACAACGTCGTATGCTACCATGGTATGATTTCTTGCGGCTCCGATGATCCTCTTGCAAGCCCTGGCTTCCCAATAAATCCTCTCTGTGCATGGAAGCACCGGTGGGTGTGTGACTGGACCTTTGTGTGAACGGACCCCAACGCATCACCGGGAGCCTGGCTTTTGTTCTTCGGTGCATTGGCTGTAGACTTCGGGGTATGGCCTAAAAATAAATATCGCCACTGTTACGGTATTATGAGTGCCCACCCCTTGTCCGAAAATTGACCTGAGCGGGGAAACGAGGGTGCCCTTCACGTGCGAAGCAAGAAGGGCGAAGAGACAAATAGTCTAGGTGGCACGCTCCAAACAAGATTCACGGCATGGCTATAGCGTTGTTGATGATTTCTGAACTTGAAGTTCAGCAACGTGTTTGCACCTCCGCTCAGTACCTCCTCTCACAACCTCTCACTTGAAGAAAATGAAATGAACTACAGTACAACACAACACCAAGAAAATCATACTAGCGTAGCAACTTCATCAGTCGCTGATCGGACCGGGCCATCATATGCGAATACAGGTGCATTCGACGTACAACATACAACAACAGGACGCGACTAGATCTACATAGCATATGTACGCCGTAAATCACTGCTGTTTATTGGTTGGCAGCAGCAGCAACCAGCCGCAGAAGCAGCAGCAGGGCAGAGGTAGCATCAGCAGCAGCATCAGCAGCAGCAGCAGCAGCAGCAGCAGCGCAAGCACAGTGAGGAGTTCTTCAGACTTGATGTGCACGGTTGCGTTGGATGGTAAGGCGTGAGGAAAGGAATGGATGGTCGGTTTCAGGTGCTGGGTGTGCCGGTTCAGGGTCCCGGCAGGGGGCAGGGTTGGCTGGGTTAAGGGTGTAAGGGTGTGTGATCTAGAGATAAAAAACGCGTCCATACACGTGCAAACCTATACCCTCCGCTGCCCCGCTCCCCGTGGCTCCGTGCTCCGTGGCTTCCCATTTTCACACAAATATATTTTGCTGCTGCGAAGCTTCTCAGCGGAACGGGAGTAACAACGATGGCGGAAGCAACAACAGGTAATGAGCGTGGCAAAACTCCCCGTGGTATTGGGGCTGGCAAAGAAACCCCCGATGAACAAAGGGTTGCGTTCGTGACGATGGTGACGAGCGACGATTTTGTCATTGGAGCTGAAGTAATGCTTCACTCCCTCCGCGAGCACTGCGGCGGCAGCACGCGACGACCAGCTTTGGTGGTGATGGTCACCTCTGGAGTGTCACAGCTGAAGAGGCAAGCTCTGAAGGCTGTGTCGGATGAAGTCATAGAGGTGCGACTGCTGTAGAACTGTACTGTAAGAAGAGGACCCAGCACACAGGAGGAGGCGTCTTTCGCGAGACTGTCACTTCCGACCTCGCCACGAGCTGCGTACATCAGCCTACACCCACACATGTACATATTTTATTCCCGGAGAGTACGGAGCAGGAGCAGTAATGAGGAGAGTTGTGTATTCGTGTCATGGGAGTCTAGATTCTACACGGCATAGACTATCTATGGATTATGGACTCTACACATCGAAACTCGCGGCCGCCGGAGGCTCGCGCGCTGGCGGGTCTGAGAGTCTGAACGATGAATCCACCATCACGAACGATTGTAGGAAACCAAGCGGGAATTTGAAGTATCCTGGACACCTGGTTTCCATTCCTCAAACCACTGCCTCGATTGACAGGAATCGCAGACCGAGGAAGTTGACCTCACAATCTCCGTAGATCATGTACTTTGTGGGATGTTTGATTTGGTGCCACACCTGGGTCAACGCACGGTGCACGCGTGCGACGCAGGCAGGCTAACATGACCCATTCTGTTGAGGCGAGGCGCACGCCCACTCCGATAGAAGATACCAAGTCCACTGACAAACGAAAATAGCTACAAACTGTCGCGCTGTGAATGTTCTCGCTTCAATAGCTCGCTGAATCGAGCGCATTGTCTCGTCAGGTGGAACCAATCGCAATGCCAATGAAACGGGCGGCGGGGCACGTGCCGGCATGGGTAGATGTAGGTGAGAGCTTGGCGTACATGTACATGTAGTTGATGCCCTCCATGGAAAGCAAAGATGTTCATCACCGGCCGATTAATGCCCGTTTCTGCCGATCATCGCGACACACAGAAAAAGAGGAGGTGCCTAATTGAGCCACCACACGACATCTATGAACACACCTGCTTCACTTGATTCGCTTCAAACCAGCTCGATGAGAACGTGATTCAATCGTCTACGCACAACATTCGTGCGCGCTGTTCGTACCACCCTCACCGCCCGCTGCCACGTCGTCACCGCCGCCGAAGGGTACACAAAGTTACGCGTGTGGGGTTTGATCCAGTTCAGATGCGTGGTGTACATAGATGCGGACGCTCTCGTGATGGAGGACCTTGACGAGGTAAATTCTGGTATATAAGCATGTCGGGTGCCTCCGGTAGACCGGTAGGCCACCCTGGCGATACTGTACTCCTGGTGCGTGAGACTGCGGGTTCCCTATACTCTTATGACTTTCTTTGATCAAGGTAGTCCGGCCAAACACCCGCACCTGCTCTAGACTAAACCCCACGGTCAATGTTGTTTGCATGACGCCATTGTTCTTGATACCGGGAGCAGCTGTTCGATCGGGAGGTGGATTTCGCCGCGGCACCTGACGTGTTTCCACCAGACAAGTTCAACGCCGGAGTAATGGTTGTGGTGCCGTCGCTGATTGTCCTGGAGGACATGATGTCCAAGGTGGAAGAACTCCCATCGTACGACGGCGGAGACACCGGTGAGAGAGCGGGGCGTCGGAAGAAACAAGAGCTTGTGTACTACCCTTTCAGCGCTACTCTATAGGAAGGGGTGACTTCAAGGAGACGTACCGGCGTTGTAGGATTTGAGCACTAGGATCTGAACAGTAATTCACATTTGGCGGCATCGGCAGGATGCACTGTGGAGTACATTCAGTCGGAAAGCGGCGTTGCACGCTGCTGGAGCTCTGAGCTTGAACCTAGGTCGCAACACATAGCCCTTGCTACATCATGTGCATACATGCGGCTGCTTACCCGGCGGACCAGCCTACATCAGCGTTGACGCCGCCGTCCCTGTCCCAGGTTTCTTAAACGCCTATTTCGCGGATTGGTTTTCAAGGCCGGCGGCTGCAAGGTTGCCGTTCGCGTACAACGCCCTCCGCACGGTCTATTGGACAACTCACGAGAAGAACCCTGGGTACTGGGAAGCGATCGGCCCCGTGAAGGTGCATACAGCTCTTTTTGGCTCCACCGCTATCCACGGAAAGCGTGCTTCGCCTCTGCCCCGGCCCCCCTCAAATTCATGGCAACATGACAAAATCTTCGTGTCTGCAAGCTGAAGTCACCGGGAAAGGAAGAGAGTGTGGAAATGGCGGTTACATATGGCGCTCAAGCTTGGCCTTAATGTACATGGATGCTCACACCAACTTGTCGTTTCGCGTACTCCAGCACCCTCTCCTAGCTCGCAGTGGCCGAATGGGTTCCACGTTTGTCGAACTTTCGTGTTTCCGGTTTTAACGCCGGTTTCGTTACATATTGGTACCTCATCTGTAGGATTGAGCGCAAGTAGAGCTGTGACCTGGATTTTCTCAAGGTGTCTGCTGTTTTCTGTTTGATATGCAACCTAATCGCTGTATTTTTGCCCTGTACCCCACTGACACATACCACTTTATCCACCTGGCGCTACCGCCCTTTGTTTCTTCAGATTATTCACTTTTGCAGCAGCCCCAAGCCTTGGGAAGAAACCAATCGCAAGGGAGACCTCGAGATGACGTGGTGGCAGCGATACGTGCAGATGAAAATGGGCTCAGTACCTGGCATGGACGGATTTGTCTAATCGCGCGAGTGCTTGTGAAGGTTCGAAAGCATGGTACCAATAGCGTTGTTTCTTTTACGGCAGTTGCTGTTTGGCGTTGCTGTTGCCAAACGGATATGCACAAAAGTGGAGGTACGAGAGATGTCTAGTTTTGCGGAAGAACTATCAGTGACGGACCTGAAGCCCAGCGGCAACAACTTTTTAGCGTGAACCGTCCTAGAGGTGCATTGCGACTCAACCCGGTACTACGTTCGCCGGTCGTTCATGCCCCCCTTTCGACTTGTTCCAGCTCGGCGGAAAGTCGCACCGACTGTTTCACGCAACCTTCTCGTTACATTGAGGACAGCTCGGCCACTGTCACTGCTGGATGGTGAGGGCAAAACGGATGGATTTCTCTACGGATTTCTTTAACTCCTAGGTTCTTATGTGGTGGTGCTTCGTCGCCTAAGCCCACTTGCCGCCCAATGGTAAACACGACTGAGAATCCTCGGTGTAGAGATCTTCGGGAGAGAGAGACACAAGTGCAGCAGAAAGAGATGTACTCTTTTAGACGCAACAGCTATCTGAACCCATAGGCCATGAGGGCAGCCCGCGACAGGATGGTGGGCACAGGCAGGGCTACAGAAGGATTGATGCGTGGCCGCGGTGCGGCCGGTAGGGCAGGTTGGGCTTGTAGATCTTGAAAAGATCTGTCATCAAGCTGCCTAAACCACTCTATTTCAGTATATTCAAACGATCAGTGAAAACGATCAAGTGAGAGCGCTTGTAGATCCATAGCTGGTTTTTTGTACTTCTGTACTTCGCCGTCCCCTCCCCAATGTGAACCCTGCCGGCTCACTACAGCTCCTGTGGTTTTCCAACCATTCCCACAAGCACGCAAGCACATGAGCACACACCTACCTTTGCATCAGTGGCTCTCTAGGTTCGGGCGAGGTATGTGTGGGGCTATGATGATAGTGTATGTGCTACTATGCTATGTTGGGCTCGTCTATACTGCTGCTGCTGTGTAGTGTAGCTGCTGACACGATGACTGCTGAATCTTGGGAGTGTACGATTTTTAAAGTTGGAGAATATGCAGCTTACCACGATATCCTGGCTTGAAATTGCCATTTTTTGCTGCCCTCCGCTCTTTGCTTTTAGTGGCTCCCTAGATTCGGGCGAGGGCATGTATGTGGAGCTATTGGTGCGTGTCTCTTGAAAGGATATGGGGAGAGATTCATTGGGGCATTTATATTTAGCGCATTGTGCGTTTTTCGATTTTTGGCCGTTCCAGGGACCTTGATTTTACCCGCTGGCACTAAATGTCTTTTCATTGGTCACCGGTTAGCGCTGTCAAGCTAATAATTAAGACACACCTGGCGTGGAGGGATACAGGGCGGCAACTCCGTGGCATGCCACCACACCAGCATTTGCAAATGATCAATCAATGATCTGTCAGGACGCCTGTAGACCAAAAAGGGTTAAGTATTTATTTCTAGTGTAGATTCCACGGCTGAGGTGTGCTTCTTGGTCGATTTTTCTTCTTTATCCCCAAAATCATTTGCTGCTTTTGAGATCTGTTTTTCAAACTCGGGCGCTAACTGCTGTACATCAGGAATCCGATCGACGGTAGAGATAAGAGGGAGGGAGGGAGTTTGAGAGGGGAGGTTTGGCACCGGTACATTGAAAAAAATCGCAACACATATTATTTGTTTCAAAGAGATGAATATAGTTGCATGTATACCGTAACTGTGCAGACCAGGGCGCCGGCACGATGGTGTCGCATACCCCTCGGGGATATGGCACCGGGGTGCGCAACAACGTATGAACGGCGTGATATAATTCAATTTTGGCAACGGGCACGGTGTTGTCTCACCGGAAGACCGGAACGATAATAAACCCGCTTCGGGGACATGATATGTACGGCAACGTGGCTGTGGTTTGTTCAGGATCACACCCGTCGGAGTTTTCGCACCGAGGTGCGCTGGGAAAAGATAGGTGGTGAGGTACAGGGCGAAATGATTTGATTGCACTCCCGCCGGGTGCGACGACGGTGGTTTCGCACCCCTTCAGTGCCAGAGGTTGTCCCGACATCTTTGGGGCGGGGTAAAAAAAAAAGGGTTGCCCAACGAACTGGGCGACAACTATGCGTTGGAAAGCCCTCGCCAGCGGCGTTCGAATAAGCTTTTCAAGATGGGTCGCAACGCTCTGGATCAAAAGTTATGGACCTATTACCATCGCCACCGAAGGTACTTCACCCCACTAAATACTTCATGTCTCGACAACTACGGCGAAGTGGCCAGTAAATAATGCAGAGAAGGGAAGCTCTCTTCTGTTCTTTTTTTACGGCATTGGTTCCATATCGTTGCCCACATCAGCCCCAACGGCTGAAAACAGAAAGTTAGTGGTGCACGCCCTGCACGCCCATGACCTTCACACTTCGCCTGAAGGCCCTCTGGCCGCCATCAGGGAAGCCCTGACAAGGCGTGGTGGTACATTGACCGCTGTACGTCAAGTGAAGGCCGCGAAAACGCGGACCTCTCGGATGGGACCAGCCGCATCTGGGGCAGCGACGCCATTAAGCACCCATTACTCAAGGAGTAATTGAGCGATTTTAGAAACGACTACAGGATGACCGTGAATGTGACATCTACAATATGGGAAAGGGAAAAGAGGCAACTGGATCCTGTTGTCGCGGTGAACACGTTCTGAACGGCCTCAGAAAGTTGGGCGCACAAAATGCTTGAGATGGTAAGCACGGCAGTCGTTTTGTCTGTTTCAACATTTTTTTCGGGGTTCTTTTCATCCTATTCCTAACCCAAACACCACCGCTCAGTGTATCGTGGGAGGGTGCCACGTACGTTATTGGGTCGGCGAGCGCTGGAGTCTAATCCGAAAATAGTTCCCCTTTGAGAACACCCCATTTTATATAGGCGAAAACATGTTAAATAAGGGTCACACCAGGGTGGTCTAGAACGTACGACGAGGCCAATCGTTGCACAAATACAGTCTCCCGAGGTGTCGCTCCCTGTTTCCGTGTGTGCCAATTCCGGCGACAAACGCGCATGCACTTTACCGCTCGGAACTCTCACGCTCACCCAAAACAACTTCCGCGGTGCCAACGCCCCGGGGCAAGCCTACTTGTACGACAGCAGTTTGTTCAGTCCAATGCGTGGAAGAAGGGCGAACAAACGAAACAGGTTTAGAGAGCCAGCGTACGAAGGGCTAGCCGCAAATGTGTTATTGGTCGCGCCTCTTGCGGTAGTTTGCGGTTCAATGTATCCATAGAACAAGTTGCATCAAGGTATCATAGAAAAAAAGCCAACATCGAACAATACTTGATCAATATCCACCAGGGTCTAACTCGGGGTCATACACACAACACAATGCACACGCACTTCCAGTACCAAATTTTCGGGGCCAGGGCGCCTCTTCGCTGCATGCGTCTACTCGGTTGGCGATACTGCAATAATGATTTTGTAGCACGCTGCTAGCCTCTGTGTGCAGACGTCTTGCAACCCCTTAACCCACTTGTTGGTAGCCCCACCACGTCACATCACGTCCCACCCTTCCCATGATGAATCATGTCGCCTCTTTTCTTGCGTACCCCAGAAGAGCACCGTAAAGCAAGGCAGAGACGCAGTCTTTTAGCTCGTTCTCATGAGGCCGATCAAAGTGTGACGAGCGCACTTAACATGTGAAGATGCAGGACTTGCCACACAGAGAAAACAACCGATGGTTAACTAAACCATGCAAAACCTGGAGTAATCGAAGCGGGGTGCCCGGCATCATCACGCCGGGCACAGCCAATCCCACCACCGCCAGAAGTCAACCGCTCGAGATACTTACGGGTTCCGTGAAGGTGCCAAATAAATGTACGGCATGCTCGGCAATCATCGTAGGACAGGATACCAACACTGACACACCGACAACCACGGCAAAGAAGCACCAAAGAATCACAGGAAGTTTACCGCGGAGAAGCGAAAACGTCTGACAAGTGCCGCAACCCCAGCCACAGTTACCCCGATCCGCCCGCACGAAAACACAAGAAACTATCCATATTATCACGAAAACTGAAAAAGTACTTCTAGTGGAGCTCAGGCACTCCAACAAATGGCTTGGTCCTTCGGGAGGTCTACAGACAAACACCGCTTTCTGCACCACCGCCAAGAAGAACACGAAGAAGCAAAGGCAACATAGACAGGAGAGACGACACAATGCCACCTGCGGCCCAACTGAACCGACATGTTGTATCCGCCTTGTCGCATACCAGGACTATGCCATATTGGCGAAGTTTCTCAAACACCGTACTGCTTGCGGTCCAACACTTCAGGCAAAGACTCCTTGACTGCTTCCCACGGATTCTCCAGGACAAGAAGCTCATTCGGACCCAAGAAATCCATGAGCACCACAGACGAGAAGTCCCGGATCATGCGGAAGTTGCTGTTAGGGAAAAGGGGGCACAGCGAAAGAATCATGTACCTCCATGTTCCAACCATGTTCAGCTGCCAGCAGAGGGATGCGAGGGGGATGACCGTAGTCTGCAGGTCTACTGTACACATTTACAAGGCCACGTGTGAAGCTGTGACGCCCTTCTTGAGTGTACGCGTGGTGCTACGACGTGCATATCTACACTGCAGTCGCTCGGAGGCAAAAACTTGGTCACGAATAGCGGGGATGGTCTCGTGAATGTCCCGGCTGTCAATCGCGTGTTTTCAGAGAACAAGAGTATGGACTCATGGTTGACCTAGCATGTAACGGCGGTGGTTGATATTATAATACGACGCACCACATGGAGGTGCTTCTGCAGTGTCAGAATAAGTTGATCTCATACCCTTGTCTATTTTTTCCCAGGTTACAATATTGATATTGATACATTGTAAACCCATTAATAAACCCTCCGTCATGGACGAGAACCCACACACATGTCTCCTTGCGTATTCGAGTACAGCAGTACGCCACACAACGATAGGTAAAGAGTGGCGATATGGTAGCATCTGTTAATGTTTACCTCTGGTTGGCTGCGCCCTTGCCACTGGCCTTGCCCGTCTTCGCCTTATCTCTGTCGCCTTCCGCCAAGCGAGGCTTTTTGGCCTTGGTCGGCTTGACGCACACGTTCAAGGGGATCTTCCGCCGGGGGGTCATCAACACCACCGACCTTCAGGCAGAGTGCGGGCAAGGGAGTTGTCGTTTGACCAATACTGGTAACATGTAATATTGATCGCATTACCGACACAACGCCTTTCGCATGAGGGAGAGCTAACGCACGGCACGTATGATATCGTGATGGCTACCAAGGGTGGGCGACGAGGGGCTCAACTGAGAAGTCATTGTGACTGCCTTGTTCCGAGAGGCGACGCAACAGACGTAGGAACGTTGTCACCTACCCCAAGACACATATAGATTATTGCTACAGTATCTACATGTATCACAGGCAACGGCGACCCCGCTGTTGAACTACTGGATGCCATTCGTGCGCGCGCAAACATGTGGAAAGGCTCCGTGGCCGTTAGGCGAATAATTTAGCTATCGCCTGAATATGTATATGTACGTTGTAAGATGCATGTATGCATAGGTACATGTTCAAACACCGCGGGTTTTATGCATGTCTACAATGGAATCACACTCTTCGAAGCCTCACAGCCACCGCAACAAGCCAAACCGCGTGCCGAGCGCATTACAAGTCATAACCATTCAGGCGCGAATTTCATTGTGTGTGCCACTTCACCGACCACCAACCTTGCGCCCCACCTCCCGCCAAACACAAACGTACGCATCTACGGTAGTATTGTGTGATACAATTCCCAAAAATGACTACTGGAGTACCTCCTTCACCTGTGATTAAAGAGAAGCATGCAGTGCTGTGGGTCCTCTGGGTTGAACGCAATCCCCGACAAGGGGCGGACGTCCCCCTGCCCCCCCCAAGAGCCTTTGCCTGACGGCAGTTGAGGGAACTCCACGCCGTCGTGGCACGCAGCCAGCCGGCGTCTCTGCACGTCCAGCAAACGGAACGCGTTGGAAGAGTCCACGCACACGAGGATGTCGTCCCTGCTGTGAAACCGCACGCCCAACACCCGGGGCGACCAAGACGTCAACCCCGCCACCCTCTGGGAGGCGGAGAAGCTGTAGCGGCAGTTAGTTGCGCCGCGCAGAAGGAATGAAGCAGGCGCGAAGGGTTGGGGGTGGCATGGGCTGTTGCGTGCATGCGGTTCTTCGTAGGTTTGACACGGGAGAGCCATGACGACAACAATGAGCCGGGCATGGCAGATTCGACCAACACGATTCAACCACCAACAGATGAAAAATAACAATTGGCGGACAACATGCAGGCGTCGCAAAACGCGGCACAACCGCAAGTCCTCAGGAACCCGCGACAACATCCAATGCTAAAACCCTCCAACATACGTGGTCGGCACTGCTGTACCTTGGCGCTGTCCAGTGATGCCGCAGCCCCACGAGATCGAAGACGTACACCACCCCAGACACGGAACAAGAGACTAGCCACTTCCCGTTCGCGCTGAGCGTGATGGCCGACACCGGCAAGGCCCCCTCATCTCCCCCCCCCGGCCTCACTCCGTCCACGTGCTCCTCGAAGCAGTGCACCAGACGAGCCCCCGCTCCCGCCCGCCCAGCGGTGGCTTTGGAGATGTCTGGGTCGCTTCCCTTATCCTCCTCGGCAGCGTCCAGATCAACGATCCGGATGTCACCGGCGGCTGCCGCTACGACGAGTCTTCGGCCATCGCGAGTGAAGGCCAGTGCGTGGGCCGGTGGCGAGCATGTTCCCGGAAGACGCACCCTCTTGCCGGACAAGGCTTTCCCTGAAGACGAGACCCTCGATATGCGGTAGAGTTTTGTCTCCTTCGTGTTTGAAACGGCCACGAGATCTCTGTGCAAGGTTCAGGCGAAACGATGCAACAAACGGTAACGGACAACCAACAAGAAGAGGCAAACGTGTGGTGGATGGGTTGCTCCGAAGAGTCCGTGCGAGATGCTTGCGTCGAGAGGCTGTCAGCGACTTTATCAACAACTCATCGCATGTCCATCATGTATCAGCAGCGGTACGATCACCATGTACACGCGCAGCTCCCGTGTAGCCACCACCTCCTACATAGCCGAGCAACACACCACAAACATCCTTCCTTCTTTCGCGCTCACCCCGCCGCAGAAATTGCTGCGCAGGCTAAGTGTCCTCCCTTGTCCGTCTTGGGTTCCAACCTCAACCGCACCACCGGTGGCGGTGCCTCCCCTCCCACTCCCACACCACCGCTGGCGGCGTCGCTGCGGCTGCCGTCCAACACAGTACCGTCCTCCAAGTCACCCAGGTCCTCTGCCGAGAAGGATCGCTTGTGCCTTGGCACTTCCCACAAGTCGAGGCTAAGGTTGTGCATGATGAGGACCAAGCGAGGGTCTCGGGCTAGGAACGCCACCGGGACGGGCGGGAGGGGCTCCATAGGCCGTGGTCCCTGTTGGTGGTGGTGGTGGGTGTTTGTGGTTCAAGCATAGCAAAAGTGCGTAAAGGAAAGAATAGTATACGCGCGCAGCCACGGGCGAAAGACGACGAAGAGGTAGGGGGAATGCAACTGGTGATTGCTGTTTTCGACACTGTGTAAGGTGTAGGCTAACGTTAGATGCTGTGAATGCCAGGATTAGCTCAAACCGTCACAGTATTGACACGGAGAAAGGGGGCACTTGCAGTGCTCCAATAGCAAGTTCTCCACGATCAAACCGTCGGGAAAAACTACCGTATCAATTATCACGTCCGAACACAGCAGGGAACTCCAAGCCCTGGAAACCCAACAGCAGGAATCACAGGTAACTCCACACGCAATATCCACGATCTCGAAAACACGGCGGATGGGGCAGCTGAGAAGCAGTAAGTGCGCAGGCACGAGATAGCAACCGCGAACAAACAAGCTCTACAACAAGTACCAGCACGTAGTGTGCGCGTAGAATCATTGCGTGCCTGCGTCTTGAAGCCCGGGACGGAGTACAATGACAAGGAGGCGTCAACGCCCCCAGACACAAGCACCGGCCCCTTCCTGGCTACCCCGACCCCTCCACCCTTCGTCCTCTCGTCGAGGCTCTGCTCGTGGATCGCTAGGGCTTTCACGTCGTGCGTGTGCTCCCGCCGCATGCTGCCAACGGTCCATTCCCACCCCTGGCGCATTCGTGCCGGTGTCTGTCCATCGTCCATCGCATCTTCCATGTCGGACGGCAAGGCGGACACCGCCTGCCGCTTCTCCATCGAAACCACCTGCGTAATCCAAAAACACCAAGCAGTAAGAGGGTCCAAATAACCCGATTACTAGCTCTCTCTAGCCGATAGCAGATTCCACAATCCAAACCCAGATTGGAGAAGGCCAAACCCAGCAACTGGCTTCTAGTGCACCGCGACCGACCCATAGCAAACTCTGGGAGAAGGCGTATGCACGGTGGCGGCGGCATCCAGGCTCAATTTCCTTCGGTCAGGCGACTAATCCCCCCTCCGTTAGAGCTGTACAGCTGTGCTTGACGGTGTGATGGCACGACCACATGCCCCAACTGGACAGCATCCCCCGCGGGTTTTGGCCCCAGTAGTGGCGGCATCTACCTCATCTTGCTACGAGCAACGTATCTTGAATATTGTTGATATCTACATATTCGTTGACCAATTTAGTCATTAAGGCATGTGTACGCCACCCTACCTTCCCATCACACCCCGATGCGAACAGTTCCGTTTCGCCTTCCGCGACGCAAAGACAGAGCACGTCGGCCTCGTGTGTCGTGAGACTTTGCAGCTGTGTTCCTGTCAGCCCATCCCACACCTGAACAAAAGCAAGATGTGGCAATCGTGTTAACGTTCATTCCAAAGCGATTCGAGGAGGAGACAGCTCAGCTTAGCATGAGGACAATACCATGTATGTCACGAGGAATAACAACACGCCCTTCCTGGAACAAACATAGATGTGTTGTCCCTTTCTCCCTCGCGAGAAGCGGATTATAAGTAAGAATAAGTGGAAAAAACTATATCGGAGAGCCTAGAATATTCTAACTTCTCGCTACCATGATGTCTACGAGCATCTTTGCGGTCGTCCATAAGTCGGCCTGGTGGTGATCCATTGCATCATCGATGGTGAGCTTATGTTACAGCCATGCGCGGGGCGGGTAGGGGAAGCAACTTCGTCGATACTGCAGGGCCCTACGAAGCAACCAGGTCTCGTAGAGGATCGACAGCACATACGGGTATGCCATTGATCGTCGTGATATTCAAACGACGGCATCACCTCGCACTTCACGGCACCTCTACTAGACTCGAGCCAGTCACAACGGCTTCCCGGCCCCCCAGTTCTAGCCTCAAGTACAGTAGTGGGCCCTGTATAAGACCGCATAAACAAGGCTGGTCGCCAAAATAAGGAGGGTCAAACCGCGTGTTGTGTCACAGTCTGAATGACTAGTGCCGGGTGCCCGGTAAAAACGCCGGCCTATTCCCGGCCTTACGAAAGGGAGCACTACAGTTTACCAACGACCATGGGCAAAGGCGCCAAGATTCACATCGGCGCCGTGATTGCTTTGAATTCTGACCTGAACCCTGCCGCAAGAGTCACCGCTGACCACCGTTCCATCAGACAGGGCCTCCAAAGCCCACACAATGGCATCCTCCTTCCGTCCCCTCTCCAGCCGCATGTCGAACTGTCAAATCGAGCAGGACAGATAGCGTTACCATAACCAAGCAAAAAAGCCGTGTGCAGTGTATCGCCTAAAAAGAGTCCGAACTTGCTAGCGGGTGCCATCTATTTAGAACAATACATGGAAGCTCTTCTTGTGCGAGGCCAGCAAGCCCGACGGCCGGCACGAAAGGCCACATTGACAGCAGTGCCGGGTTTGAGCAGAACAGCGGAACAGCAGAAACCAACCGCGGAAGAGGGGGCGGAAGGTCAGCTTCGGCCTGTGCCTTAAAAAGAGTGCTGCTGTTGCAACAACAATAGCCTGCTGCTGCAAGTGGGAACCCCAAGAACATTCCAAGGAACGTGAGCTTGCACTGATCGACAATCAAGCGGCAGGCGCCGTCACCCTCCACATCCTTGTGTACGCTGTGCACTTGTGTACAACAGTGCGTTGTCTACCAGGTACTGCTGTTCTTGCTCTTCTCGTTATCCCCATGAAAGCACGTGCGCCAATCATATGGTCGGCGCCGGGTCGTGAGTGCGGCGTGATTTACAGCAGCAAGTGTCATTCATGGATGGCATCATGTCTGAAACAAGACAGTTGGGTTAGCTCAAAGTGCACCGCCCCTACAGCCCCGAGCTGCTAGGTGATACCGGTACATGCTACGACTTACATACTTCGGCAACCAGAACGAAACCAGCGCTGCGGTAAGTCGAACCTTATTCGCCAACTCACCAACGTTTGCCCAGTCGTAGCGTCCAAGCAGTGGATCATGGAGTCCAGGCAGCCAGCGAAGATCACGTCGTTCGCTGGGCCCCATGCTAGACAGAGAACACGCGACCCTGTTGAGGGAAACGACCTCTTGTACTCCACGCCACCCCCCTCCGTCGAGAACAGCCGTACGGATCCGTCCTCGCAGCCCACAGCGAGGAGACCAAGGGGAGCCGCCGGCCGCATGCACCAGGCCGCGCCCCCGTACGCGTCCCTGACATTCTTGTAGCACAGTCTCAACAGGTCGACCTCGAATACTGTGCCATCGAGCCCGCAGCCGAACAAGCGGGCTATCGCCGTGCTACCCTCGTCGTCTCCTTCTACGCCACCGTCGCCGCCCGTACCCCCTATCCAAGCCAATGACCGCAGCCCTTTGTTCTTCTGCCCCGGGACGCGGGCTTCTACGCGGTATCCCTCGCTCGGGACGGTCAGTTCGACGTCGCCATCCTCTCTGCCTACAGCCACGACCTTGCTGTCTGGTCGTGTGGCAAGGGCGTGCACAGCCTGTGGCGTCCAGACCTGCAGTTTCGATAGATTGACCGCCATCCTGTGCTCCCCGTCACCCATGGTGATGGCGTCACGCGTATCCCTTCCGGGTGGGAGAGCACGTGTACAGTACCTCGCTCTCTAGGTGCGCGTCCGAAGTCAAAGGTCCAGAGCGGTGGATGGCGTGAGTTGCGCGGTGCAACAAAACAACGCGTTTCTACCCGGGGCCAGAAATGACGGTCCCGGCGGCACGTTTTTTCTATTTACGCCGCATTCCAGCGAGAGGCAAAGCTGGAGCACCTCTGTGTCGCGTACACACCGCCACGTCTCTCCCTCCCTCCTCAGAAGGAAGATTTGTCGCCTTACATAACGCGTAGCAACTGTTGTCATGGTAGGTGGACACGTCTCACGATTGTTCTTCCTGATTTTAGGGTCTTCAACAACAACGTCAGCATGGATTTTTCCTGGCACGGGCCCTACTCGAGCCCTCTCCCGGCACCAGGTTAGGCACACGACCCCCCTGGAGGGAGGTACCGTAGGAGACTACATGGGGAAAGGCAACAGCGATGAGGACGATGCTGCAGCAGCGGCGCGGGAGGCGCGAGAATCGTTAGAGAGAATGTGGGCATCGTCTGCTGGTGCGAGTGGTCAGGACGAGGAAGAGGAAGAGAATGAGGATGATGGCCAACTGTTGCGCGAAGTTCGTCAGGCACTGCCGGAGCTTGAGGGAGAGGTAGGTCATCGACAGAGACTCGGCCGAGGTCAGTCCTGGGAGACTGTTGCTCTATGCATCACAAATAGTTCCTCGTGCCCTCCGTCGTTATGTATCAGGTATCAGGATGCAACAGGAAGTGGAACATGTTCAGCAGGTCATACAGCGGCAAGAGACCAGCGTCTCCATGAGAGAGAGGCATTTGGTTGTTTTCCGCGGTTCGATTGTAGCATTGGTGGGATTGTACCATGCCTCGCCTCTACATGTGTATATAGCAGCAGAGCATTCGAGGCCTAAAGCGCGATATCACGAAGAATAGGGCACAGCAGTACGACGCTACAACACAGATATACACAGATATAGCCGTTCTGCAGATGCCCGACACAGCAGTTGAGGGTGGAGAGCAAAATAAAACCCGCTACTGCACGTACCTACTACGGGGCAGTTGCCCTGAACGGTGACGTTGATTGAGGTGAGTCGTTGCTGGTTGGCAATGGCAAAGAACATGCGTACTTGGCTACTGGCCCCACGCCAGGCCACCGAACGAAGGTGTGTAGCCGTTGTCTGGTTGGGGAGAAAAAGAGAAGAATACATAACGCCGTTTCGGGCATAAGACCAATTGAACAGCTTGAGCAGCAAGCTCTGTTGCGGGTGTTTCCATGAAAATCGGGCCAATAAACAGCCTCTGCCGCTTGGAGCATATTTTCAATTTGGTTTGAGCTGATATCTAGCGATACCCTCATTCAAGGCGTCTCCAAATGCCTCTTTGACCAAATGTTCATTCGATGTGATTGCCGCTGAACGCACATCATGCTCCGCCATCCCTTGCGTGGCCCCTTCTTTTTTACTTGCAAGGTATATTTGTAGCTCAAACTATATCACCGTTAGTACACAAATCAAACACAAGCACCCTGTTCTATGGTGCCTCTGCTGTTGCAGCTACCGCTGTTCATGCCAACACTGTAAACACAAGTCTGTTACAAGCCTGTACAACCGTAGCCTTCCCCCGGCGATGCTGACTGTTTTCTTCGCGTAGGGGCCTGAGACGAAGCGGGAGAATCCGTTTCCAACAAGCAGCGACAGAGGTGCCCTAGAAGCCTCCTCCGCTAGCCAGCAAGCGCTCTTGGCCGGGAAACGAGGTCTGATCATCGATGTCGAGGTAAACGATGGACTACTATTAGACTATACCGTGAACTGACAAAACTTTTACGGAAACTATCAGGTAGTACAAACATTATTTGGCGTATCATGTACTACTTACGTACATGATTAGGCTTGAGAGTTGCGAGCACCGGGCCTAGAGCTCGCAGTATATACTAATATTGTACGCTTAATTCGGGGGGCTTGACAACGCGGCATCAACGCAACATTTTGACTGCCGCATGGTTGTTTGCAATCTTGGCCTGGCCTGTTCTGGCTCGACAGGTAAGACAGATGGACGACACGCACGCAGAGTTCGACGAGGAGATGCAGATCGACTTCGCCACAGACATCTCCAAGGCCTTGGCGACTGTCTCCGGAAGAGTGAAGGTGTTACTCAGAGGAATTCATCTGGCGGAGAAGGCGACGGAAATGCTCCAGGTGTGCCATGATAGATAGCCTGACACCGCACCGCACAGGAAACGCTACGCGTAATGTCGAGAGTTTTGAGCATGGCTTGCTTCGATGAGCATGCACCAAATGCCAAGAATACTGAACACGAGTTATGTGTGATAGCGACACCGGAAACCAGTAGGATGGACCAAAGCAACCATGCCGATGCTGATACTGTATCATCCCGAAACTCCCGTATGGTTTGGCTCAGCCGTATGCGTGTCGCGTAGATATCTAGAGTGATCCAACCCCACTCCCGCCTTCAGTATGTGCGCTACGCTACACTCGATCGTAATCCCCCCCCACGTCTTATTTATGGAACACCACATTCACATGGTAGATTTCTATCGTGTCAGAAGCTCTCACCCGTAGTTTGGGCAGCCATTGCAACGCAGTTGATCTCCATGACAATGAACGCCGTGGGCGAGCGCCTACCGTACACGATACAAGATAGAGATACCCCACCAGCATAAGATAGCTCACAACCCGCATAATACCGCACCCAGTGGCGTAACATTTAAGGGTAAACATGAGCTGGAAACATCAAGCACTGCTCTCACGTCAAGTGATCACGTCAAGTGATAGAGCAACAAAGAGTACAACACAACCGTACATGCACAAAACATGTAAGTTTTTTTTTGAAGCCATACGACCGAGGTGTTTTGTTGTATCATACCGGTATACGGTATTCCTGCTTGAACTCCCCCGGTGAATGCTGGCGGGAACAGAAAGCGAACACGAAAGGGGAGGAAGAGGGGATCGAGCCACGGCGCGACATATCTTTCTGCTCCTTTCAGATGGCCAACACAGACGACGAAGACGACGAAAAGAGGTAAAGTAGAAGTATGACAGGGCGAGGAATACGACACAGAAAATGATGTGAAGCATAGACGATGTAAATGTGACATTAATGACAGTAAATGATGTACACGCACGTAATACTACGTGTCCTTTACACCATGGTAGGTGCTACGAGTAGTGTCATAACCAGTTTGCGTTCTCGGCAACAGCTGAATGAGTTTTCCGTGGGTGCTGGTAGATTCCAATGTGTGGACATCGATCAGCTCTCAGATGAGCCTGTACACTACCACCGGCTTTAGTCAGATGAGCCCCGCTAGCACCCAACTGGTGTGGCGTGCGGCGCGCACAACAGTAACTGCTGCTGTATTTGGCCCTTGTCGCAACCGAAGACAAGCCTCGGAGTCTCTATCCCCCACCGTTTCCAGCTCTGCACGTGCGGCACCCGACCAACACGAATGTATGCTCGGCCCGCGGCGGCGTTCTTTTTTCGTTCCAGCATGCGCGATTTCGCGTCGACATTGGGGCTTGCCAACGAAGAAGAGCGAGTGTTTTTGATGGTGTGCCCTCGGCGTCTCGTCGACGTCACAGTACTCAGAGAGGTAAGGAGACCCAACTTTCTGTCGTGCGGTGTGGTTGCACTTTTAATATTGCAGAAGAGTTGCGGCCGGCTCTGCGGTGATGGCGTTAAGTAAGGCTATGCTTGAGCGTTTGTCGTCTTCATGCAGATTGCCCTGGATTCTTGCGCGAAGACTTCGTTTGATCGCTGCCCTCCAGATGCGCTCGGACTGGTATGCAAAATGCCTGTGCTTATATCTTGTCTCTTGTCTCGATCGCACCGTTCACAAACCTAAGTGTACTTGAAACGACGGTGGTAAAGTGGCTGCTAGTCTCGTCGTCAAGTTGCAGAGCAGACAGTCCACAGCGTTATGTACACGATATTGCCTGGGTAGAAAACACACGTCGGTTGTGATAAGACAGTGCATAGCGGTGTCGGAGCGAGAAACATACGCACATCACACTTACTTGTGCCGTGCCTTGACTAAATCTCGAGACCACAAGTGCGGTGCCATCTGCTCTCGTTGGACTGAAGGCCTGCAGTGTGCCTGTCTGTCTGTTCTTATCTTTGAACGGTGTTTCATCATGCATGTCGCCATGCAACTCGGTTGGTGTCGTGTCGTGTGCACAGATTATTCTTGTCGCCAAGGGCCGACCGGTGGTCCTTATAACACCCCGGATGCCGTACATGCCGGTGGAGACGGACGGGTTCGAAACAGTCTACCAACTCAAGCAGTACAACGTACAACCCGTCCCGACGAACCCCAAGGTGAGGGCGGGGGGGGGTTGCTGTCGGTGATGTTTTTTATTGTGTCTTGTGGTGTCATTGGGATAGCGTGGGAGCAAGGATAAGGTTTGCTGAGTCGGCCACGAACACGAGGCGTAGCTGCAGCCTCTCTCTCTCTCTCTCTCTCTCTCTCTCTCTCTCTCTCTCTCTCTCTCTCTCTCTCTCTCTCTCGCTTGTTCTCCCTTTATATCCACCCCATCTTCTCGTTGTGTTTGTCTTCTGCTCATATTGAACCTGTTTTTTTTTCAGCGCTTCTATATGGGTATGGGCTCGGTCATGCTACGGTGGCAGAGTAGTACCGCCTGTAACTTTGCAGAATTGGCGCTAGGTTGCGGATTCGAGTCTGCCCAGTGTAAAACAACTCGCATTTCAACAGTGCGTAGGCGTGAGTTCACAGAACGAAGAGGGAAGGGATTGCTGAACCCTTCTCGCGTTAACAGTTGAAAATTGGAGGCATTTACCGTTGGAAGAACTGTAGAGAAAAACACACCCTGTGTTTCCTTCCTCACGTGTAATACCGGCTGGTGCATCAAATACAGGACCGCATGTACTGGACCTAAAGCTGGTGCTTAGAATCGATTGGACGAAAATAGGAAAGAAATCCTGCCTTGAGGCACCCGACCGTCCTATTGTGCACAATGGAATACATGGCATTACCGAAGGGTGCATGCCTCTGTTCCTCATGGTTGCTTTCAAAGGCTACCCAGACAAGGCACCATAGTGCACGGAATTAAGGTGTGTATGCGACACGGCCGTATCAGCTTGCGTGTCGATGATGCCGTAACAAGAGACCCATCCTTTTTGGCATGCCGCCGACCGTAACTCCACGACCAACATTTTGGTACGATACGGGCGTCCGTCCTCTCGTCTCATGCTGTCGCGTAGAAAAGGATCAAGAACGTTCGGCTGACACGGCTGGGACAGAACCAGCAGACAATTTATAGCGAGCTCGGGCAGGTGATTCCACGGGTTCTTGTCACCAGGGCCTTCCCCGGCGACTTCAAGGTAATGTCGTGCCATGTGGTGCAAACGTCATTTAGAGTGGTTGGGTGTACAATGCAGCCATCAAGGCAGCGTCGACTGGACCTGCGAAATCCTGTGCCATATGGGCAACTTACAAATCTTGGAGGGATTTAGTCTTGACACATCAGATGAAGCGACAATGCAGGACTTTTATGTAGGTGAGCCGATTTATTTCTGCCATCCGCTCCTTCATGCTGCGTAAGCGTGAACGCCCTTGCATTTTGGCGGTGCGTATTCTTCGGATTTTGGGTATGAAAGCTTGCTGAGTATGCCTGGATACCGGAGCAGTGTCGTCGTCATGTTCTGCCTTTGGTTATCCCGGCCCCGCATGTAAAACGTACATCAAAAGGTATAACTCTACCGATTGTCGCATCTCCCTCCTGATATTTCTTGGCTGTTGGTCAGTTGTATCTCGACATTGATGGGAAAGGGTTTCAGCTGGAAAAAACGTACGACGCGAAGCCCCAACCCGCCGTCGTGAGCTTCACGGCGCAGAACAAGATCAGAGAAGTACAACAACGAGTTACCCTCCAGGAGAAACGGGTTGTCGCAAAGGATCATGGCGTCGAGGACGATGATGACTTTGACTGGGACACAATTAATGACGATCTCGAGGAGGGCGAGGAGCCTTTCGTCGTGCCCCCGATGCCTACCGAGGACGAGATCAATGCGAGGCTACGCGATGATTGAATGCGCTACGCGATGACTGAATTACCGGGAAAGGAGTAATGGCTCAACGGCGGCGAGTGGGGTGTACGTAAGAGATGCACAGGTTCTGGCTGGAAGGAAGCGGTTATAGCATGGAGATTCCTTAGAAATATTACATGTTGTAGAAGAGGCTGTTTCGGTTGCCCCGAGGGGAGACATGGGGAATGGTGCATAGGCCATCCGGGTTTTTGTTGGCGTAAATAGAGAGAGCCGGCGCATGTACAGAAAACGGGTTTATGGAGTGGTACTTGGCAGAAATGGGTTGGATTTGACGGTCGAGCTCAACAATCGAACTTGCCTAAGGTTCGTCATCTTGATGGTGGAAAATGGTATTGGAGAGCGGGTGGTTGTCGGTGCACGTAGGTACGCATGCATCGCGAACCAGGTTGTGGGGTTTGTGCAAGTCTACTTCTGGATTGTAAGTTGTTCCTTTACTCAAGAACATCGGCAATGTGCATGACAGCGCCGCGATGTCACACAGAGAAGCGATGTCCATTCTTACCATCCTGCGACTGAGGTCACAGACATGAATGAGTGGGTGTTGGCAATACTTTGCTCTAGTGTTAACGTCTGATATGTGGTAGGTGAGAACCTCCAAGATCAACTTATGCGGTTCTTTTGGTCGCCTTAGTAAATCTATTTGCCCATGGCGAGTCAGACACTAAACGAAAGACGTGGTGAACACCCTTCCAGGGAGGAACTGTTGATCCCTCCTTGTGGGATTAATAGAAGACACACAGCAGAAGAAACCGTCTGTGTGACTCCGAATCGGAGCTCTTCTGCAAGATATTCAACGAAGACTTACGAGTAGGCAATAACTACAAGCGACGGTACACGATGGGCTGAAGAATTTCCGAATCGTGCGTTTTTTGTTTTTTCACGCCCTCCCGTGTCAAAGACCGTTTGTATAGTGAGGTCGTCGACACCCAAGTTCGGTATTGGCGAAGGCCCTTCCGATGACGAACACGTTACACCCCGTCCGTCCCACGCACCCGCTCGCGCTCCTCAAAGTAATCGATGTACATCGCACGCGCTGCGCGGTCGCCCTGCTTCCCCATGCCGCCCGCTTCGCTCAGAGAGAACGGTCCCAGGGTTTGACGATGTCCATTACTCTGGCCCTCGTTCGTCTGCTGTTGTTTCGGACTTCGCCTTCCCTGCGACTGCGATCTAGGCGATGCAGATGTAGAGTGCGCCGAGACACATTTATGCCCAGGCCAGGCGTCGACGGACGTCGGATTCTGTTGTCTTCGACTCGTGAACATCTTCAGGACTAAATGTGGAAACCACTTTGGATTCAGTCTGGAAGTGAAAAGGGGTGTACGTGCCGACCTTCGTACTTAAGGGGTCAGGCCGAACGTTGACGCGGCCGGCGAACTACCGCAAGCAGAAGATTTGTTTTGGACGAGGTATACGTATACCTTGTCTTTGCTCCGTCTGGCGTCGTGACTGTGGTTCGTGAACACCCTTGGGCGATGATTGCGAACTACGAAGAAGTATGAAGTATGAAACGGCAGAGTGTCGACGTCGCATGCTTGAAGTAGACACCGCGCAAGCGATTTGATTGTGAAATTCACATAAGCTAGTAGCAATGATCAACAATTTAGCGAGCAGTGAAGCAACTCACGGCACAAGCGTGGCCGTTGGCATAAATTTTCGACGGCGTACAATCCTCTGCCCGACTGCGCTACCCACCACTCACTGTGGTGTTCGCTCTCTCTCTCTCTCTCACATGGAAGCGGCATCATCACCCGCAGAAGTTCGGTTTCCTCCTCCAACATCCTCGTGCGCACTGAGACCACCATGCTTGCTAGACACTTGATTGTTCTCCAATGCCGCCACTATATCAGCCGGGGGAGCTGCAAACCGGGGGCGCCCCATCCCCCTTGCCGACCGGCCTTTCATAGCCGCGAGAACATCAGGAGGAGGCTGCATCGGGGTCAACGAAATCGGCAAGTTCGTCGTGACGTTAACTTGGGGCTCTTCCGCTGTGTGGAGCGAACAGCTTTCCTCGGTGTCAAGTGATACCGAGCCCGGCATCCCCAAGGCCTCCACCTCCGAGTGTCGGGACCCTGACGTTGACGACAGAGAATGCGCCATCCTCGCTCTCAGTTCAGCATCCGTTGGAGGCCGCTGGTGACGGTGCATGTCGACATCACCATGTTCAGAATGGTCGTCTTCAGGTTCTGGTCCAGATTGGCCTTGGACGTAACCTCTACCACCGCCGGTGCCGATGAGAGTATCGATAACTCGGCTGACGGCACTCCAAACACCACCTCGTAGTTTAGACTGAACAACACTAGCAGCGTCGATTGGCGGTTTCTCGTGCAAGTGTCCACCGACTGACTCGCTCGCTCTGGAGATATTGCTGTCGCTCCCAAAATGTGCGACGTTGTTGTCAGATACGGGCCTGTCCATGCCATCAAAATCGTCCACAAGAACAGACGTTTCGTGTAAGACATGTCTTTCAGGATCCAAAAGAACCCTACCGAAGTCTACATAGGCTCGAGGCAAATCCATCCAATGTAATGGCAACAAAAAATCACGAGACGCTTGTCTTCCGTTCGTTCAAGTATCAGTGTTTTGCTACGTTAGTGGTCTTGCTAACCTCTCAGAGTTTCACGAGCTGGACCCTTAAAACACCTCACGATCCGGACCTACCCGAATAAAGGATCTGTTGCCACAGAGACCGGTACCAACCTGTTGCGATTCCCTCGTCGGCTGCCGTTGGAAAAAGTCTTGTCTTCATTCCGCCCCTCAAGAACGTTCCCGCTTCCTTGCAATTCCCGAAGATCCCAATCCCGATTGCGCTCTAGCCGATCCGTAGCGGTTGCGTGCGCTCTCCCCTTCGCGTGATGCCTGTAGTAATGCAAGGCCTCGGTTTCTTTCCCACTAGCGCTGGCGGTGTCAATCTGCTGAAGCGGTCCCTCTCCCTCGGAAGGGGGTTCGGGGCCGGAGTTGAAGTTAATGTCGAAGGCGTGGCGAGAGGGACCACCGATGGGGCTTCGGCGAGAAGAAACGACTGTGGCCGGTGTGCCTTCAGATCCGTAGCCATCCTGAGCTGTCCAAGTTGGAGACTGGGGCTGTGGTGCTGATGCCTGCCATTCAACAGCAGGTCGGGGGGCAGAAGACGGGCAAAGACGGTCCATCGGTGATTGCTTATGCTCGAAACCAAGGAAGCGACAAGGACAAGGCAGGCAAAGAGGTTGATCCCAAAGGGCTTGTCGTTTCTCTTCCTCGTCGAAAGAAGATTATAGCACGTAGACGGTGCTCAGAGTGAAAGAATCGCATGTGTATTTCCGGTATTCCTTTGAATGAGCTAACCTCGGCGTCTTGAATGTAGGCCAACGTTGCTCGAAGAACCTTGGGCAACCGGCCCCTAGCAAACGTGGGTTCTGAGTTGAGCAGATCTTCCCTGGGGGTAAAGCCCAGGGTGTTACGCCGGCTGAGCTGTGCACCACCCTCCACTAGTGCGTTGACACACAATATATTGCCGTGCCGCACCTGGATCGGACCAAGATCAAGCGTGTTGGTGGGAAAGGCGGCGTAGCGTCGTCAGCCTTGATAAACATATTCAAGACAACAACAGGGTACACCCAATGACGGACCCGAGGCCATATGATTGATAGCATTCCCCGGGTAGAAGGGGTTCGGCGGACGGGCTTCGAGAGCCATGGTTACATGTACCCACCGCAAGGTGTAGCGGTGTGTCGTCGGCTTCGTTGGCGTTGTTGACGTCGCTTCCTCCCTGAATCAAGAGTTGCAGACATGCCAGGCTCCCCGTGGCAGCGGCCACTGCCAAAGGCGAGTTCCCCTGTAGACACCATCAGCAAGACACAACAGACCACGGGAAAACTGTGACTGCGAACACGTATCGGGGCGACGAGATAGCGGGTATCGGGAAGCGATTCGTTGTTTTCCATTCCGTTGCTATTTGGGGACGACTTCAAGTTATCGTCAACGTTCGTTCATGTACGGCGGTGTACTTGGTTTGGTCGGGCCTCCCTGCGCTCTCAACTCCAGCCTGAGTACCCGAGTCGGGATTCTGTCTGTACCGTTGAACTGCCCTCTCAAGACCTCCATGTTCTAGAATCTCTGCTAGAATACATGAACAAAATGCTAGCAACACCAGCTGAAAAAAATGGATTCTAACGTAAAAAACGAGGGTATGGCATGTTTTCGGCTTCAAGATTCAAGTATAACTTACACAGGTTGGTACCAGCTACTGGCTATACCTGGCAGTCGTGAGCGTCGGGATCGGCTCCAGCCCGCCGGAGAAGGCGGACCAAGCCAGCGTCGTCTCCGCGACAGGCATGATGAAGGGGTGTCCGGCCGTTGTCGTCGTGCACGTCTGCTATCCCACGCCCGTAGACTTCCAGAAGACGGATCACGGCCGCTGCGTCGTTGTAACGTGACGCCAACGTTGCAGCGAACAGGGCTGTAGACAACGCCGAGCACGATGGTACACTGGAGTTGTCTCCTCCCCCCGCGAGGACGGCTCCCATTACCTGTCGCGTGGCGCACATCAAGAACATACAGTATCAGTCTACAGATCCCTGAAAATCTCGCAACTAGCACTGTTCCACACCCAGCAGCAGGGATTTCGTCTCGTGCTACAGTACATAGTTTGTACTACGAAAAGACCGACTTTGTCACCTACAGTAGAACCATGAGAGCGGAAGACTATGAGAAGTCTCGCATACACCAACACGTAGGTGTGGTTTTTATGGCTCCGTATAAGCGAACATTCTCCCTCTTTTTTTCTTTTGTCTCTCTCTTCAATCGATTGTACTTGCTATCTGCCCTCTTGTGGAGAGAAATTGCTCGTAGAGATCTATAAGAAGAGCGGCCCACCACGCGTCATTAATTGTTGGTTTTCGGTGTCGTGAACCACCTGCATGGCCCCGATCATGGCCATAAATGAGAAACCTCGTCACAATCCCTTCAGCTCCACTTGGTACTTGAGATTACCCCCTTTCCCCGCGCAGCATAGATTGGATGCCACTGTAGGTCCGGCCCAAATAGCGTATCATAGCCTCTTGCTGGTCCTGTTTTTCTCAGTGCTTCGTGACAGATCGCATTGCTACCAATAGGTTGACAAATAGCTGTAGTAACGGAAACGTGAACTTCATCGCCGCCTGCAATCAACAACAGGGTGGTTAATGAGATCGTCACCTCGTCGTACTCGCGCGCGGGTAGGGCCTCCGGCCAGCGGAGAGTTCGGTCTCGTCGATCGCATTCGCGCCGGCGTCGTGACCGCCTGCTGTGCTTCCGGTTCATCCCCTTCCCTTCTGAGCGCCGACGATGTTCGTAGTCCGAGCCAAGACGGCCGGGCCTGCTGTGGTCGTTGCTGTCATCCTCACTGGCCCTACTAGAATCTCGGGTGGAATTTACGGACAATCGGTTGTGAGTATCGGTCCGGCTCTGCCAACCGGACTCCATCGTTTCACGGTGGACACGTTCTCGACAAGGGCCATCGACAATGTCGCAAAGGGTTGATTTGGGGGGTGCAGGTTCGCCCCAATTGTACACGTTTCCCATAGAACGTGCGGTTCCACTCGTTGCGTCATAGCACGTAGAATTGGAGTCCTTGCTGCGAAAACGCCCGTCTCCCTTTTCCCGCGCTGCTTCCTCATATTTTTCTTTGGCTCCGAACTCTCGTACTTGATGCGTGATGCTTCGGTGATGTAAACGTAAATCGCCGTCGCCGAAAGCCACTCCATCAGCCGTCGATGTTATCTTTTCACGGTCACCGACCGGAGCAATCCCTGACCCGTTCCTATCTGGACATGACCCACCATCATAAGCAGAGCGGAGTCGTCCAATGTCCGCAGGACTACGGCCGTTAGGTCTGCCTTCTGCATCTGATGAGGCCTGCACCTTCCGAGCCGATTCGTCCTGACTCCCAAGAACGAACAACTGGATAATGTCGGAATGACCTTGCGCAGCGGCCACGTGAAGCGGCGAATTTCCAGCGTCATCGGTCATCATCGTGGCACCCGCCGCAAGTAAGGCTTGCGCTGCACCCAGATTACCAGCAAGCGCGGAGAGATGCAACGCGGTCTGACCCATGGCGTCACGAGCGTCTTCCAAAGCTCCAGAGGATAAGAGCAGCTCGATGCACCTAACGGTGGAATCACTACCGCAGTCACCGTTGTCGCAGACGCTCGCGCACACTGCGTGAAGTGGTGTTCTACCCCTGCCATCGATTGCGTTGATACTTGCTCCGCAAGCTAAGAGCAGCGATAGTCCGGGAAGAGAGTGTTGAGTTGCTGCGAGGTGCATGGCTGTTTCTCCAGCCGAGTTCCTGTCAAGATCATAGAACGCGCACATAGACGTCATTCGGTATTCAAGAGTGACTACGACAGACGATCAAAGGTGTTTGGCCTTAGTTGGCCGAATAGGTGCTCCCAACCGTGAAGAAATGGACTTGAGTATTGTGCTTCATTTGACATCAAGACGAGGGTAGAGTGTGGTTCTCCCTGTTGTCATTACCTCGCATCAGGATCAGAAGTATCTTGGGACCACTGCGATACCTCACAAGTACCGACTGAATCGTTTTCTGCAGCAGTAAATGTTTTTAAACCTTGCCCCCCCATCTTGGTGCTGACGGTTCCATCTGGACCCGCTTCCTTAACCCCGGCGCTGAGATCTGCCCCCCTGTTTCCTGGCTCCCCTTGCGCCGCACCTCCATTTGTGACACCATTGGGTGCTTGGGCCACGGATGCCTGCTGCTCGTTCTCCTCTATGATTCCCTCCCCCTCATCGGAGACGACCCACTCACTGTCGCCGGTGACTTCATCATGTAAGTACGGGTAGCCTTCTGGGCTGACGTATCTCACCCACTGACGAGCAACAACTTTAGGCTCCGGGATGGGAGGGAAAGTCAACGGCAACCTTGGATCGATGCCGGTAGGTGTGCCCTCCTCCTTTGTATTGCGCTCAGCGCCACTTCTTTGTCGGTGTTCGTTCTGGTCGCAGCTGCTCGCAAGGCCCTCTGCTGTCGTAGGTTTCGTTGGTGGGTTTGGTTCGAGCGTCCAACCGGACTGATGCGGCGATATGTCATGGCGTCGTGGGAGTGGGGCTGACTGCTTCATCCTTTGAAATGCGCTCGCAAACTTTCTATCTTCCGCTCTTTCAGCATCACTCTGCCGCATAGCTTCTTTAAGGATTTCTTCAAAAGTATCAGCGTCATCGGTCCTTTCCATGTCTGTCTCGGCGGCTTGGATTCGATTGTCTCCATGTTTTACAAGATCTTCATCGGTGGTTGACTCAATGATATAATGGGTAGTAGCGGCCCGCCCATCTTCCGCTTGACTTGCAGGCGAACCGTAGCAGTTCTCCTTTGGCGACTCGACGAACTTGATGTTACCAGTGCTTAGGTCACCCGAAAGCTCGTCAGCGTTGAGATTCCCGCAACCCACGAGGCCGGTTGAGTGTGTATCATCAGCAGAGGCAGTGATATCGCGTGGTGACCGTTGGGACCCCTGATCATTCCCGTGCGAATTCGCAACCCGCAAATCCAATGAATCAGCCTTACCCGCGCACTCCGTCTCGTTTAACACATTAAGCTTGACAAAGCTCCCATCTCTTGCGTCAGTACTTGCTGGGTCCTCACAAATCTCCTTGACTTCAAGCATTTCTTGGTGGGCATCCTCAAGTAATGGCAGCAGGTGATGATCTGGCTTCGAGATCGACCCCAGTTGCACCTCAGCTGGCTGCATCGCACAGGAGGTGCCCGACACCGTTTCTGGGTGCCCGACAACCGCACAGGCTGCTGTTTTTGGTAAGAGTTGTCCCTCCCAAGCTGGACCGCCGCTTGGGACAGCTTCAGTGCCCGGCACAAGATCCGTTGCGCAGAGTGTCTTTGAGATTGCTCTCTCGCTATCCATCTTCCGTCTCGCCTGCAGGTCTTTTGCAGTAGACCACAATGCACTTCTTTCCCAGCTTCCGCTTCAGCCAACACACCAAACTTGTGACCTACTGTACCAATCGATGCCAAGCGAGATATCGCTACATAGCCGTGAGCACGATATTCCTGCTCCACGCCGGCAATTAGGTAATTGTGGGCTATCATGTCCGACCGTTAAACCTCGCAAAAACGCGGCGTAATGTGTGCCGTTTCGAGTTCCTCGTTTGGCTGGATCTCGCATCACGCATCACGGTATCACTGCTGATCGCTGCTTTCACAACAGTTGAGAGGAAAACCTGCTGGATGCTGGACTAGTTTGTTTGAACTTTATACCTTCCACAACTTCGATGCATCCCTTCGAATGGGGTATTATCTCGAATGGGTACGTAGTTCTTGGATATAGTCGACTCTATTTTCTATCTACTACATACAGTATACATCACATTGCGAACCATTATATCCACATGTCAACTACAGTATCGACTGTATAATACTGTAGACTACGAACTACATGCAGGAAATCCGTCCCAGAACACCATGCTACAGGGTTGGAGGCCAAATCAGCCAAGTCTCTACTCCAATACATACATACATACATGTAGATCGAGAGATCAGACACTGTAGTCTTACTGCGGACGGCATCTTTGGAGTTCCGAAATACTCTACATGTACATGTTGTGAACAATGCCGCTCTACAAATAAACCCAGGAAATTCCTGAAATTAGTATTTTCCTGTGTGAGTACAACGTTCAACGGGTTAACAAAAATGTGGTAATAATATCTCGATTGGGAGTAGCTTTTTCAGTGATTGCATTAGTCAAATTAACATTGGTTTAATTTTTAATTTTAGTTTTGTTGTTTGTCATCCTTTCCTCATCTGGTTGTGAGCGGGTCTCATGCGACTGGTAGAAAGTAAGTAGCACGGGACGTTGTCCGCCATGACAGTAACTTCCTGAATAATCAACCTGAGACAGATCTCGGGATATATTATCGGGTTGGCTCATTGTTCGTTGAAGGTCGTCGTGGATCGAGAGTACACATACATTTTTGCCCGCATCATGGCTGACCGACCAGGCTGTCGGAAATGCTATAAGCCGCACCTCCCACCGCCTCTATTGTGTGCAACAAGTGATTCACTACCGTTCGTGCCCTTTTCGTCCTAATATTGACGCTCTAAAATTCTTACACCATCTCCTTCAATACTTCGTTATAACTGTGTCAACGCTTAACTCCGCCATTACTTTATACTTCACGTATGACTCGAACGGCTCATCACCTCTTCCAGAAGCTAGACTTCGTCTTCTTTCCCCCCTCACTCTTGCTCTGTTTCCCCTGTATACTTGACCCTGATTTTTCCTTCCCTGCTTTCTTTTTGGCACCTTTCGAGTCCTCTGATGACCCGGAAGATGACCCCCCCTCGCTACCCCCGCTAGATTCCGCCGACCCAGATGCCGCATTGGACGCCCCAGAATGAGAGGCGGAAGAGGTGCTCTTGGCAAACCTGACCGAGCCCTTGTTTTTCATCTTGGTGTTGGGTGCGTTTACAATAGTGCTATTGCTGTTCTCAGAACCAGTCTCCGACCTCGTCGCGGACAAGTCCGAGTCAGAGACGGTCGGCGATGCCCCTGCAGCTCCTCCCGCTGCCTTCGTTTTCGCAGATGACTTCTTTGCCGGGGTTTCGTCGGTTTCGTCTTCTTTCGAGGGTTCTGAGCTTCCAGAGGTTCCCGACTCCAACGAAGACGACGAACCGCTGGGGCTCGAATCGCTGGTGCCTGACGATGCCTCGCTGTCGTCGCTGCCGCTATCACTGCTGCTGCTGTCGTCCTCGTCGTCGGAATCCGAGCCACCGGACTCAGACGACGGGTTCGAAGGTGATTGGGCCGGCTTTGTGTACGTTTTAGTTGGGAGAGTGTCCTCTGAGGACGACGCGAAGTCGTTCTCCTGTTCGGACGCTGTTCCTTGGGACGAGTCGTCCTGCCGACAGGAAACGTGCGAGGTGCACACGAATGTGTGGAGGTTTTGACAGGGTATTTGCAAGGTGTGGCAACAGGACTAATGCGAACGCTTTGTTCATCGCCTTCATCCGCGGGAGAGTGTGCCCGTTGTCTTCATGCGGGGGCATATCGGCTCAAGGTGCCTATCGCTGAGCGAGTAGCGAAACATCCTCCACATGGTGCCCCAACTCCGTAAACCCATATCCTCAACATACGTCGTCGGTTCAAGCTTGGACATTCTTCAACCCAACGCACACAGTCAACATGCGTAGACTTCGCACTGAACCTGTATGCTGAGGTCTTGCTGCCGCCTTTTGATGCGATCCTTTGCGCGTTCCTCCGCTCGTTGTCTTCGCCGGAGCTTCTCCTGCAGAGTAAATTACAAAATGAGACGCAAGTTTCTCATCCCTCTTTCAGGGGTAGCACCGCGGCTGGGAGGGCGCCGTGATCTTGGTGCTCTCGTGGTGTGTCCTTCATGGCGATGACTACAACAACTCGGTATACCTTCCACCAGTGGCGCCGTTGTTGCACCGACAATCTACAGGTCACGAGACTGAATCACCGAGCAGAACCCAGTATTAACAATCGTGGTAGGTCAACGAAAAGTGTCATGTCGTACTCTCTTACGGTTGTGCGGTGTTTGATCTAGCCCTAACCCTAAGTCATTGCTGCATATGAGCACGGCAAAGCCTGAGCGACCACCGGTTTCATGAGTGGCGACTCTACCGTATGTTTCAACAGGTTGGATGAGGCATTGCAACAACTCCAAGAAACGAGAACTTGCCTGTAGAGCTCGCTTCTTCCGCAGCTGGACGGCTTTAACCTGTATATGCTCACCAATTATCTTCAGCATGCTACCATGCAAGTGAGGAAAGGTCGAATGCGACGGACGACATCACAGCGATCTGGTTATTCCAGCGGCGAACACTCTACGTCCTGGCTGTCGTTTCTCCTTGGTTTCTCGCGCTTCGACAATTACGTGGTGAACGATAAAAAAACAAACGCAATGCTCGCAGCGAGTGTGCTTGACAGAAAACAAACGTCCAACAACCTCAAACGACCAATTACGTAGAGGGTCCCCCCCCGGCCAGACGATCGATATTCGCGCATCTCGCTTCAGTCATGGAACACGTCGATCAACCTCTATCGCTTGTCTGCATCAACCTGTATTCGATTTCATCTTCCACGGGTGCCTGTTAGTGGCACAATCAGCTAAACGAACTCACCGTAGGTACCAAGCGCTCAGACGGTAAACGTTGTTGTAGGCATACAGCCTTGCCGCGAAGAAGTCCACGTCTCCCTCCTTCTCTGCCAACGCTACATCCGTAGCAAAGATGTAGGCCATCGACCCTTGGAAATGAGAGCTAGCCTTCCCCAAGGCCACTATCGTAGCCTTCACAGAGTTCAACGTTGGCCGCGGCGACGGAGCCTCTGCCCCATGGCTGTCCTGATGCACTTCGGGCACTGGCTGCGAAGGGTGCACGGAGAGAGGCGGTAAGACGCGGCACGTCGTTCTGTACGATAGCGTTGGGGCGGTATGGTGGAAACACACGCGCGAGGCGAGTTCCAAGTATGCATTGAAACTCTCTGCAAGTCCTCAAGGGTTTGGGCGCGGGTTTCCCGTGGGCCGGGTTGCAGCGTGGGGCGAGACACGCAGCGCCTTACAGCTGTACGTGTTGCTAATGTCTGGACGAGTTATGTGCTCATGACTGCCTATTGGTGTCTGAGTGCACCGGTGCACCTTTACCCCATTCTCTCGGCTATCGGTAGGAGAGAGGAAATCATTAGGTGGCCGAGCCGTGCTTCTAGACGGTCGATTTCGGCGATCTGTGGCCAGAATTCACCCTCGATCGTTGGCAGTTGCAGCATTGTGTTCTCACCTCGGGCATTCCGCTGGCGCACTGAAGACACAAGACAGCCTTTAGGAACGTGTCCGGAGTATTAAACCCGAGCAAGTCGTGGACTAGCATTCGTTGCCCGACCTTGCAAGGGCAGTTGACACACACAAAACAACAAACACCAGGGCAAGACCGTTCAGTACGATAGGCAGCGAAACACATCGTCGCTGGCAGGTTGTGTGTTGGCAAGCCTCCAAGGCAGGTTTAAGCTGTGCAAAATAGATTATTGCGTCTGCCAAACTTCCCACCAGAGATGGTGTGCGATACGGTTGCGAATTGGGCCTCACCTCCTGGAAAAGAGAAGCTGCTTCCACGTAGCTTTCACTCAGAGCAAGCGCGTGAGCGGCCTGAGACAAGTACAGTGCAAACGAGGAAGACGTAGTGTTGTTTGCCTTACATGGTCATGATACGAAAATATCTATGCTTATATTACAGTTCCTGGGTGTCGCAGAGCGACGACAGCGGGGGTGACACTTTCGTTTGAGCCCTCGCACCAGCCCGAGCACCAGAGACGCGAGTACTTGTAATACTCCTATCAGCGGCGCACTTGGTACTTCGAAACCTCGTCGTCAGTTTTAAGATGGGCCGAACAATGAACGCAAGTTGCGCAATCCTGGCGAGAGGTACTGAGTGCCTGGCTTGATGAGGCCATCAGGACGAGTGATATCCTGCTTCTGGATGCAGATATACGGACCTTGAGCAGACTACGGTCGGTAGCCTCTTCAAAGCACGTGTTTGCTCGGTAGAAATCGGCCGCCTTGATGTGATGCACGATTGCTAGCCGTCGGTTCCTGAAGAAACCACGAGCGACGGTCGAATCTCACCACTTTTAGTACTGCTGTGCTTCGTTTGGTTGCGATTGAATGCACTTTCAGGTCTTGTCTGGGCGTCAACACGGTAACGAAAACTTGTCGTGCCGTTGGGTTGTGGGCCTTGTTTGTCACGGAAAGAGAAGTCTATCGTTTGTATTGAAAGGACCACAGCTAGTGAGAAGTGTTGTGCTGATAACCGTGGAGGTTTGTTGGGCGCGGCATCCGTGGGGATTTCACTGGTGCATCTCTCTTTTCTCATGGTGCCCATCGATTGAACTATCTATGCAAAGTTAGATGAGCCGGGTGTATCAACCCATCGGCGAACGGTTAGACTATTCACCTGTCGTTCTGCATCAACTCAGCCACTTCGCATTCTAGCCGTGCCGCCGTGGAAAACAGTTGCCTTTGACAGAAGAGGTTGATTGCGCTTAGGTAGCACGCGGCGGCCTCTGTGTCATTAAACAGCGGTTCGGTACGTAGCAGGAATGAGGGGCCATGGGTCAAGAAAATGTTATTTGCAAGCAGATCGGACCCTGCAAGCTACCTTCTACACGAAAACCCCCACGTCGGGGGGCCGACCCATGCGACGAAGACTTTTTGTCTGTACCTGCATCTTCAAAGGCTTTGCGACGGCAGCTACCCGACGAACTGCGTTCTGCGTACCTTGTGGCGTACGTACGTCAACAGCATTGAACTAGATACTGGTGAGCTCCAACGGCAGACCGCCGTGCTGTAGTAAATTGCACCTTGTGGATCGTCTTTCTGAAAGCAGAGGGCAGCTTCATGGTAAAACGACGCCGCAACCTCCGGGTTGTTTAGCTTCTCCTCCAGGCGACCGCATTGCTTGTATGCCACTCCGGCATCTTGAACTGTCGCAAAGCACATGTTGGCACATACGTATCGAAGCCACTAAAGAAAAGCAGGAACACATCGAGGATCACATTACAGTCCTGTCTGTCAAGAATCGCAGCGAGAGAACGCTCAAGAAAGCTGGTCGGCGAATTGCGAGAGAGAGAGAGCAAATATGTGAACATGTGAAAGAAGGATCTGCCCACCAATCAGGTACCTCGAAGATGCATCTCAAGGGTCCTTCTGAGGGTGTTTGAAAGAGTGGCAGCTTTGACCAGAGGCAACTACAGTCACTGCCCTTGTTAAGTTCAGCAACCACGCTTGTAGGGAATGATGCGCTCTGAAGAACGGCGCACGCCGTGTGTGCATTTCATCAATCGTTTTTTTTCGTCGGCACAACCAACGAAGGCCCTTTCGTCAACGATAGCCGTCTACCCTGTACACGCCACGCATCACGCATGTAGATTTCAAACGTCCCACAACGGTGAACAGAGTAGATTAGTAGTCCTACATTATGTAGTGACGCTCCAAAGCTACAGCATCAACGAGCACAGACCTTACGCCCACCACATAAACTCTGCGCACTCTGCATGGGACTACTGCACAACAGTATTAGACTTTTGGACAGTGTTAAAAGGGTTTGGAGCAGAATATGCCCCGCTACCTCTGATAGCTAACCCTGCTGAACATGCGCACTCACATCGCTTCGCAACACGGAAGCATTGCCCCGCAAGCTCCAGGTAGTTGGACGCATCTTGGAACTTGAAACGCGCCATCGGGCCCATGTACACTCGCCGTTGAGCCTTTTCAGCCTGATGCAGATAGCGAAGATTGAATGTGTCGCAATAAATAGTATCCCGCATGACTTGATTGGGCATTTCCTAATTGTTGAGTAGCCTAGACGTTGCGGCATATAGACTAATACAGCGGGAGGTGCCAAATGAGCCTCGCACCTTGCTGTCTGTAGTCTGTAGACTAAGCATCTACGCATACCCGAGGTAACTTACAGTTTTCGGAATCACACCCAAAGGTAGGGTTGGTCTGTGATATGTGCACATCCCGATGAAATGCATGGAATTCCATGTGCGATGCCTGATCAATGTTCCCCCGAAACAGCAAACCACGTGGCTCTATATACATGTAGATACCTCACACCCACGGAGTATCTTTGGACCAGCAAGATCTTGCCTGCACATGCGCCTACCTGCTGTACCCATTTTTGAGCCTTCTCTCTGTACGTTGTAATCATATGATCCGCCATTGCCACAAAGTGTTGTCCGAGGCACACTTCGCTTGTCCGTGCTGCTTCTCCCAAGCATGAGCGCGCGCTGTGACGGCTTAGCTGTGAGAACGGAGCAACGGAGCTCGTGTGTAGTTGTCTGCGTGCTGTGTGGAAACACCCGCCACGGCGCCCCCGTGCGGATGGGTGGGTATGTGTCCCACACGTTGCTGCCGGTTGATTCCACGGAATTCCCCGCACAGATGAAACGATGACCTGAACCAGCGAACGAAGCCTCTTCACTATACCAGCGCTAAGGCTCGAGCCCGATCCGCTTTGCGTGGGCTGTATGCTTGCGGTGGAGAGAAAATGTTCGACGCGGCCGATCTCATCGCCTTGCCAAGGCCGGCTCGAGCACCAAACGGCTGTGTGTCTGAAGCTACGGCTGGTGCTACTCCAAGCGAGAACAGCCGCAACAGCAGCAGGAATCGGAATACTTATCATGTCGTCCAAGCTTGTCCCGTGGCTGGTGACAACGTTGCGCTTGCAATGTCCGATGGGCAGCTGTGCTACGCCAGAGTGTCACAGTCGAGAGTAACAGCCGTAGAGCCTGATCAGATGGAGGAGAGGCGATGGCCCGATTGGACCACTTGGCCATCGAGGTATGGCAACGTGCAAAGCTTGCACTATGACCCGGCCCACGATGCTCTCGTAACGCTCGAGGTAAGGACTACGAACCCACAGCACGTGGCCTGCGCAATACCCCCATCACTGTGGACTGTTTTACTGTACCGATAGCTTGCGATCATGATGTGGTGGTTGTTGGTGGATTACTCCGCATTTTTTCAAAACGAAAAACTACAACATGCGGTACATCAAGTAAAACCTCTTGACTGCTGTACTTGCAGCAGTGGTGGGCCTGGTTTCGCGACCCCGTGTCAGCGAAAAGCCCTGTATACTGTAGCGACCACAACATGGCTTAGCACCACTGCACCTCGACCAATAGTCGGTATAACGGCAATAACGACCTGCCCGGAGAGCGACCACATCCTTGCTGACACTATTGTACTGTAGGAGTCGCTAAAACGGACCCCTGTACATCTACATGTACAACACAGACTACGTATTTGGGTACACATGCCCAACTAAAGCAGCTACCATGGTATGTATGTAGTGTTTGACCGAATCTCAATGAAGCCGACTGCTAGGTGAACCATGCACCACAGCCACTGGTGCTAAATGGTACTGGCTGGGCGTGCGTATCCATACAAGTATTGCTGTGCGATGGCACATATACGTATGTATGTGTACCTCATTTGTCATTTTCCTCCCGCACGATTTTTTCGTGCCCTTGTTCTGCCGCGTTTTTCCTGGACAGCAAGCCACCACTGCCGCCGGCGACCAGGCATTCCTGGGTCGGTATCATCGACAGGCAGGGGCATCCGACAAAAAGAGGAAGACAAATGACGAAACGAATGGCGGGGCAACGAAATGGGTCGGTTGCTCCATACCATTGGCAACAAGCCAGGCGAAGGTGGCCGTGTGCGCGAGCCGAGGGTGGGCAGCGGTTTGCACGGGATCCGTGGTGAGCTATTACGAGAAAACAATCTCTGGTTCACTTTGCTAGCGGCGGAATGCGTATGCCATAGGAACAAGGACCCAGTCGAAAAAAACGGCGTATTCAACGGTGAATTGCCGCGGAAACTACTAAGCGCGGATGACTTAGAAGCCTTGTCAGGATACTGAACGCGACGGCCGAGAATCGAAAATGCTTCAAGTTTGGTCGAGATCAATGCTCCACAAACACGTCCACAACTCTGATAGTTCGATGTGTTCATGGCGAAAGTACGAAATATACGTGCCACCCTTTGTTCTTCGCTCACGTCTCGATCCCGTGTACTATGCCAAGGTCAACCTGTGGGCCGTAGCTCACCCAGGGCCGGCGCCGCCCAACGCTCGAAGAAAGGCATCGGGGTTACAACAAGCGCCGGTAGGCTTTGAACATGCGCTGTCAGTGGACCTTGCTGGGCTCGTTGGCGCCACGGGCGGGTCAAATGGACGGGGTGCCAGCCAAATCGCGCTACTCGGGAATCTGCTGGCTGTGGCTACGGACCATGCGGTGTTTCTTGTTCACCTGAGCTTCCATGTTAAAGGCGAGTTTTAAATACGGTTCGCGTACGTGTCCTCGGAATCCCACAAACCTTAACCTTGTGTTGCAGGCGTGTTACCATCCAGAGAAATGCCAAATTCAAGAACGCATACATAGGAGGCTGCTGCAGGGCCTTACCTGTTGGCAGTAGGGGGTGGGTGCGTGTGTTGATACAAAGACGTTCCGCCATCGAACGGTGGTACTCCTGTGGAGGATTGTTCTCCGATTGACCTTGTCGGTGCACTCGATTTGGCACAACTCGCCGCCAAATGTAAACCATGTGGCTACCAGGCGAACCGCGTTCTCGCTACAGCACCACTCCAGAATCGGGCTTCAACGCACCAGCAGCATCGACTCCACGAGGTGACGCCCAGTCGCCCAAGGCACCGAGCCCACAAGCTCACCCTCCACGCTCAAGCCCAAGAGACAAATCAACCACCAGGTTGCGAGGCCCCTCCGGCAAGCCCGAACCCAAGGATTTCCCCCCCAAGTTAGCTGCCAGAGGTGGCCCGTCGGGTAAAAGCAAGGGCCTGGCAGGTGTGGATGAAGGCGGTAGATCTCCGGTCTTTTCCGGTTTCCGCAAAGAGGGAGGTAAGTCGAAGACGGAACCACGAGACGGCATCGTCGAGAGAGCAATATCGGAAGCAGAGGACCTGGTTGTTTGCGTGCTTCATCCTGGCGGAGAGCAGGACGATCGCGAGACAGAAAGGTGGGTCAGAACTCCACGGGTCGAAGTTTTTGTTGCGAGCCCTTTACTTTTCGCACGTAGTGTACGACCAAACACATCGCGAAGAAGTACTTCCGTATTGGCTGAGATGCTGTACAGAACCCTCGTCTCATTTGACAGCATGGTTTTGAGCTGTGGTGCTTGTTGCCCAGTGCTGATAGTTGGCAGCTAGTGCCTTAGGCTGCGAAGCAGGAGTGGCGTCGGTCGAAGCAAGCCCTCGGTGGTCACAGTTGAACGCATACGCTGTGTTGTGTTTGTAAACATAGTGCAGTACCAACAATTCGCAATTTCTGTCGCTTCTTCTCGCTTCACGACAGCTCCGCGCGGCCGCCCCCTCTCCTCCGGTCGTTTGACGACGATTGGGAGGCGATCCGCACGCGGAGAGAGTACGTGCCCGAGCCGTTGGAGCCTGAGAGTGCTCCTCTGGCGACAGAGCCGTTTTCCACATCATTGCCAGTCAGCGGGAATTCAACCGTCTTGGACCGTATGGGCGCGTGTGACGTCGTGCTTGCCCGACGTGTTGGTCCGGGGGAGGTGGTGAAGGAGCTCCACCTTTTGCCCATCCACGATAGGTGAGCGTGAGTTGACGGAACGACGATGTAGCACGCCTTGGCCACAGACTGCTGTCGTTCTGGCGTAGGACCAAAACGAATGGGTCGCGTCGAACGCGGGTTCCGGGTAGGGACATACTGACATGCTTCCGGCTAGAAGGATTCGGTGTTGATTGGGCATTGTGCGAGTACAACCGAACCCATCAACGACGTGTGTATAGAGTATAGACCATGGCATATTTACCTATCGGGGAGTCGACCGAGAGCGATATTTTCGAACTACCCGGTGCTTGAAAACCTGATTCTTCGGTGGGTGTTGGTGTTCCCGAAGGGTAGGTCTCTGCTCATCGGTTTCCCTACCGTATGTTAATTTCGAGCGTTTTTATTGCGTTGCTATCACAGGGTGGACCCATGGAGCAGCGAGGATGAAGGCGACCCTTCACGGGACAAAGCCCGCAGTCATCCCGTGGATCCTTGTTGTCGCTTTGTGCTTTTGACAAGCAAGGGTGCCACGGTTTGCCTTGTTCGCGCCGCGCTCACTGCATCCGAGGCAAGTTCAATGTTTCCAGCATTGGGCCGTTCGTCAGGAAGGGCTTCCCCCTCTCGGCCACGGTCTTCATCTTTCGCGCTTGGTCAAGAGCAAGGGCGGGGATCACCCGATCGTAAAATCCCCCCTGTCGGTAGTCGTTGCAGCTCGTCGACTACCGATTCCCATGCTGTTGATGGCGGGATCTCTGCTGGTGGTGTCGCCGAGGATTCACAGCAGCTCGTCGTGTTCTTGCGTCAATCCTACCGTTTCAACAACGACATGTTAGTGGCTTCCATCACAAGGTGAGCATTCGCAGGTCGGTGGTAGATATCGCACGTCGGAATGTTCTGCCGTTCGCATGACGTGGTGGGACAGGAGTTGGGACAAAGTCTCACGCACAAAACAACAGCTCGCCGGTGTCCTCTCGCATGATCCGCGTCTGCCTGTCGGTTGGTCAGCGCCTTTTTGTTCGTCCTCACTGTGGAGGGGGTGGAAGTGTGGACCTACCCATCTGAGAATCTGCCGGTGACCGACGGACAGGGGAGGAAATGGTCGGAAGATGGCAGATTCGGGGATATGGGGGTGCCGCTTTCGTCACCCGCTCATGCGTCGCCTCGGCCGTGCCTTCTGCACGTACAAAAGCTCGAGGTCAGTGAACCGAGGTTGTCATGTCTTTCCGGTTTTCAAGATAGCCGAGTGTTCCGGGTGTGTGCAAATTTGACCTCCGAGTGTGTAGGAGGGTCACGCTTTGAATCGATTGCTGGTCTGGTGCTTTTTTGGGCTTGTCAGCTGGATTCACTCCATGCGGTCACGCATCGAAGCAGTGGGTAGAAGTGAACCTGCGCACCGCCGACCTCGGTAGAGACGTGCCGCCGACTACAAGGCAGCAGTGACTGAGCTGGCTGCCTGGAGTTCTCCCTCAGTCAATGTGCTGCAACCCGAAAGCCCCTGAGAGCTGTACTGCCGACCGAGTTCCCGGGCTTAGAGAAATGCGGCAAATGTTTCGTCGAAACCAAACCTATGCATTTTGATAACTATGCCGCTTAGCCCTGAAGACTACGGACATTGGATACGAAAATACCTGCGAACTCCCCGGCCAAACTCATGTCTCCCTGCTTAAAGGTTGATGGTGTGCTGCCGCGATCACCGGCGCGTTGTATGGTGCCCCTCGGAGGAGAAACACCAGGGCTTTTACTCTTCCCACCACCGCTGGCCACCAAGGTACTGAAGCTCGCGAGATACCACCAATAGTGGAATCACGTTGATGGTATGTTCGGTTGTGCTCACAAGTAAGTTTGTTCTGCGAATGGGCCATTAACGGCCCTCCCGATAGGTATGCTGCTGTGTTGACTTCTATGCATATCGGGGGCGATTGCGAAGGGTTCTTCGTGCAGGAATGTCATGAGGAGATTTGGACGAATTACGTACCGCCTTTCGAGGGCTCCTCAGGTCTAGGCATCCCGAAAGGGTGCATCGATCCCGCTCTTGGAAAAAAAATCTCTTGGTTTTGCCAGTGGCCATGCCAAAGTTCCTTTGTAGCGGCTGGCTCGTCTTTTGCATCAATGCAGAACAAAACTCCGTACTGTGGGTCATTTCCTTGCGGTCGAACTAACGGCATACCTCTTCCCTCTCCCGCCTTTCATTGCTTGTATAATTACATCGTACAACTGATTTAGAGAGCCACACTCGCCTTCGTTGCGCATCAGTGTCAACGTCGTCTGCGCTCTCCTGTTGCTGCTGACGAACCTATCGCGAACGGCACCCCCGCCTTCTGCAAGCCTCCTTCCCCAACCACGCCATTGTCGGCATGGCCGGGGGGCGATAACAATGTGGGGCAAGACTTCTGGCCGCGCAAGTTCGCCGCATGGCGAGACGGGTTCTGCGGTCTAGGTGGAAGTAAAGCTACTGAATACACCCCATCCCCACTGGCGTTGTTTCTTCGACTCCGAAGTCCAACAGAGGCTGTTCGTCTTCTTTCCGTCGCCGAGGAACGCTCTGAGCGCCCTCATCCGGCAAAGGCTTCTGCCATGTTTTTGTCGGCTGCGGAAGGACTACACAATGCGCTGACGTTTGAAGTCTCTGCTGCATGGCGTGCTGCAGTCGGTCTCGCGGGAACTGCGAGCACTCTGGCAGGCCATGCCAGTAGTTCATCGGCGGCTGAGCAGGTGGGAATAGAGACCATTCTCCCTGGGTTGGTAAATTGCTGGAGGCTGCAACGAGTTGCCGCGCGTTGCGCCTCGCTCCTTGGTCAACTTTTGTTGGAGACAGCACTATCGGCAGCGGAACAGGGTTCAGCTGAAGGAGACTGTGCGACGGGTCTGGCGTACACCCGGGCCTGCTCTTGGCTGTTGGCATCTGGAGAGCCCGTTGTTGAGATTTTTGCGTCCTTGCAGGATGTTGCAGCTCGCGTTTCGGTAGCCGGGGGTGAGACAGAACGCACGGCGGTAGTCCCGAGCCTCGTGTCGTTGGATGATGACGAGGAAGGGAATTCTTACTTGATGACGGCTGAGGTCCCTCCGCTAGACCTTGAGGAACTGCTGCCTCGAGCCATGTACGAGTTTTATCTTCTACCTTCTTTCGGTGTTAGAGACACGCCTGGAGTTGGACCTCCGCGTCTCGCCTTGGACTCCAGCGCGATACCCATCTCGGACGGTGGTGAACCGCAGTCCTTGTCTCTTGACGACGTGCTATCGGGGCTGGTGTCGTATTTGCATGGAGAAGATATTCAACGTCTTTCACTTCGTCCGGGGCTGCCGAGTGTATGGGATGGAACACCACGCTACACGCCACTGTCGACAGCAGTGGTCTACGCTAGTCGTGCCCCATGGACGAAATGTCCGGTGGCCCTGTCCCAGGCATTACTGGCGCTCGACGAACAAGATAAGACACTAACCCAGAGCACTTCAAGCAACATCAGCAGCAGCAGTGGCAGCAGCGGCGCCTCGCTTTCTAGAAAGACCTCCCAAGGCGGATCGAAACGTCTAAAGTCAAAGACAAGACCCCGTCACGAGCGCTCAGGGAGCACCGAACATCAGAAACCCTCCTCGTCCCTAGACGGCCGTGACCCCACGGATGACGAGACCACCTTGTCTCCCACCCGGGAGTGGATTGCCGTCGCACGAGCCATCCTGGGTGGATATTTAGAACAGATGGGAGGTACCGGTGGGCAACCGGAGGCCCCACGGCAAGGACGCAGCGCCCTCGCCGCGGACTCGCAGATCCTCCAACTCGCCTGCGAGAGACATCCCACCTTGGTGGCGCCTTTGAGGGGTGGGGCCGGACCGTTGGCAAGAGATTTACTCGCGGCAGGCAGGGTAAAGCCGGTTGTGGCGGCGCTGGTTACCCTGACTTCTTGTGGTGACGGTGGCGGGCGAGCAGGTACGGCTTACTGCGGTTGTCGTTCCCTGGTGCCCTTAAGGGGACCCCCTCGGTGGTCAAAATCGGCCACGGGTTAGAGCTTGCTGCTTTCCTTGGGTGCTGTAGGCCTAGGGTTTGGGCCGTCGGCCCGGGCAAGTGCGTTGTTGTTCATAGTTGTATTCAGGCGTTCGTCGTTCGTTTCGGTCGTGGCCAGCGACCGCCCGATTGTCTAATTTCCAAATATGCATCTCTTATCGGCCGTCGCAGGGTGCGGCGAGGGTTCCTTTGGACCACACAAAGCGCGGGAATTGCTACAGCTCAAGGACGACTGTTTTTCGCCTAAGATCGATCCCCTGCAAGCGCTCTACGTATTCGGAGCCCCGGGCCGGCAGGTGCGTTGGAAGTCGTTGGCGATGCCACGGCGAGTGGACGTCTAGTCTCGCTGAAGTTGTGTACACCATCGACGAGACTTGCACCGTCCAGCAATGAGTCGACCATCGAGCGTATTTTCGATTTTTCCGTACTGTGCGTTTGGCTGGCGTCTTCCTTTCATTTGCACAAGCAAACTGCGGTGGACAGCCGTGACCTAGACTTGCCACGGCCCCTCGCTCCCCCCCCCCTTTGACGTTCACTCAGATCGCACAGCGCTTGGGCTCTTTCCGCCGGGCATCGTTGGACTTGTCAGGGCCCTTCTGTTCCACGATCGAAGCTCGCCCAGGTCTTTTCCACGACGATGCGTACGAGCAGAACAGCGAAGCAGTCGACAGCCGACCGAACCCCAGCGAAACAAAGGCATTGTCAGCTGCGGCGCGGGATTTTCTCAGTCGACGCTGTTCGGCTTCTTTGGCGACAGCGGTCCTTTCTGTTAGACATCAGGAGAGGATATCCCAAGCTCTAGTGAGTGGAGTGAAGCCACTGCTGTATGCGTAGTTTGTGATTTACCTGTGACTGTGCGGGTATCGATATTAGTAAAACTGCAAGATGTTTGATGCTGCGTTTGCTTGGGCAACGGCAAGGCGTGCCGTCGCTTCGGCATGCTGCCCGTGACGCGCTGCGTCTCCTGTGGACCATTTCCACACGGGTTTCTTCTTCTCGCACCGGAGCTTGATCGGATCGTGACCATATCTGCGCATGTATCCGTCGATTAGCCAGCTCCGCACCCCACCCTTGCCGTCCATACCGCTGATGTCCCTTATCTGGTTCATACAGGGCGCTCCTGAAGCTTGGCGCGCATCGTTGGCACGCACACGTGCCTTGGACCGCGCCGTACTCCGCTACCTGATTAGCGCTCATCTCGACGACTTGCGCGCACTTGAGAACTCAGCTGCGGGGAACCCCAAGGCCATAGACGGCAAGCCAACCGCGGGTACAGGACAGAGCAGCGGCTCCGTGAAAACGGGAAGCGATACCCGGACCAACAACCACAGAGATCGCGAGTATAGCACATGGGCCGACGCAATAGTGCCGCTGCTGTCTGGTCAGGTGTCCAGGGCGCGTGGTGCAGAAGAACACGTTGACGCAATCCTGCGTCTCGTTCGTGAGATTACGCGGCGAGGTAGTAACGCCAACAACAGCCTGAGCGATGGCAACGGGTGTAGCATGAGCCATGAGGTAGCGGAGGAAGTCGTGACGGAAGCCAAACGCCGCCTTCCGGCCACCGAGCTCTCTCCAGCTTCGGCAGGTGCTTCGGTGGACTACGACGGCAACGGTCACATTGATGATGACACCCAACCATGGGGTTCAGGGGGAGAAGGGACGGGAAAAGGGCGCGCCCCGTGGCCTTGGGGTCCACGAGCAGTACCCGCAAGTGCCGTAGGAGCTATCCTAGCTCTCGCGGCGGCCTTACCGCCGGCGGGAAAGCTCCTGGCAGGGCTTGACGTCATGCTCCAAGTAGGAGAGGAAGTGGTCGCCGCTGCGAAAGCTGAGTCAGCAGCGGCAGCGGGAGCCGCAGCTTCCGGGTCGACCGGGAAGGGAAGTGCACGGGGAGGGGGTGTCATCCGCAAAGACTCAGGGCTCGATGCCGGCGTAGCAGTTGCAAGCGTTGAAGAGGTATCCTGCGCTGCTGAGCGAGCTCTGCTGCTCTACGCCGGCGAATATTGCGGCAAAGACCCCGACAGGTGGGCGAGCGTTACCGAGCACGTGAGAAACTCTAGAGCTTCACAAGTTCGCGAGGGTGGGAGTGTTGATGCTCCGGGTCAAGATCTGGTCCGCGCTTTGCTGCAGAGGTGTGGTGCAGAACTTGGTGGGCAAGCTCTGGTGCGAGCGCTACCCGAGAACTTGGACCTCATGGATTGTTTGGATGAGATCGAGAGGAGTCTTCTTGGCGACTAGTTATCGTAGGCTGGGCTTTGAGGGTCCATCATAGTCGTGAAAAATCTAGCGCAACAGTGATAGGTTTGCGTCTTGTTTCAGCTTTAGGTGCGATTAGTGAGTAAAATAGTTAAAGGAGTGTACCGGTACATTGAAAGGAAGTCGGCCAAGGCCGCAATATATGTGTTGGTACTGCGTCACAACAGGTTTCACGCTGGCGCACGCGATGGGTGTACGTTGCAATTTGCAGCAATTTGCCTTGCTTGGGGTGCGGGTTCATGGCCATGAGCCATCCCACCCGTGGTTCTTGGCGAACGAAGGCTCTATCACGCAAGTACGTCTCTCTAAACCTCGTGTTGTCAAACAGATCGAGTCTTACGAATTTCGATGATGTGAGTTGTGACCACAATATCTTTACCCGATTGTCGTGTCTGGTTCTCCTGCGCTGGGGCGAGCGCAACCGCCAGAACGCGGGTCAACCGTCTCGACCTGTTGCTTGGTCGTCAAACATCACCCCAAGCAAACCTTGAAAGGGGAGACACAGTACACGGGTGCTACGGTTACTCACCGTCCCGAGGGCTCTGTCTCATGGGCGTTCATTTTTACCTGTCGGGTTTCCCACTTCTCAAATCACTTGGAGATCGTCCTTCCAAGAATAAAGAAGGATGGCACATCTCACTGCCCATATACCCGTAAGGGGTTTTGCGACAAAGCTCGCACTGAAATTTCGCGCAGGGGACCTTGACTTGCCAGCAATCAGCAACATGTGCAATTTTATTCTCCAACTGAGTTTGTCTCTCGCTTCCGTTGCTGGCCTGGGTGGAAAGCGCTAGTTCGTGTGGACACAGAGGGAAGCGAGTGTTGCACTCTTCTCGCATTAAAAATCGAAGACAATACCGCAGAGGGGATGGGTAGGGGGCCTCAAGGAGGGGAACGGCACGTGTGCTGTGAGCGCCGATTTGAACTGAAGTCGGGAAAAAAATGCAAATTGGGGTTTCTGCTGCGGCTAAATAAATACGATGACAATCACATGAGCATCTCCCGTAACGAAGAAGAAGCCACCTCTTAGTGCGGCCTGAATTGTTGATGTCGCACATTACACATGCCCCCCTATTCAAAAATCGTTCCCTAT